GTCTAAGGAGGGTCCAACATTGAACCAACATTTTGGTTGAGATACAAAGCTGATGTTTAAATCATTGATACTCCCTCGTAAAATTTTTGTGAGATGTTGTGCTTGCCCCTCACCACGCAAACCTCTGTAAAATTTTGCCACTTTGTGGCGCAATACTGTTGCTTGCTTTGGTAAAATTTGGCGACTTTAAAGAGCTATGTGTTTATTATTTTGCTGTTAAAAAACCACATTCAAACTTGGCAACCTAACTGATGTAAAGGTATTCTTTCAACCCTGGCCCCAGACAAAAATTGAAAAAAAAATGTGGGTCTATTACACTCAATTTTGTAAGTAACTCATTACCTTAGTGAAGGTCTTGAACTCAGCAGCTTTGACCTTAAAGTCAAGCAGCTCAGGTGAAGGAATGTCTATGATCTTTTGTTTTTCCGAGTCTTCTTGCTGCACTTGCATAGCACGATTGTTTTCCTGTAAAAATAAGTGGAAAATTAGACAATGAAATAATAACAATGGTATGATCTATATTATTCCGTCTACTTCTACTTCTAATAATTCAAATTGTTGCTGGATTCTTGCTTATCAAGAGATAAAGACTCAATAATGAGCCTTCTCTTCTTCTTTTTTTACTTTCTCATTGCCATAGTTGTCATCATTGTTTAGCTTTCTATTATCTACAACATCATTGACATCAAGCAATTCCTTATTGGTAATAAACACAGGTCTCACCTGTAGCTTGGCTACCAAATCCCTGAACTTCAGAATTGTTTGCTGATGATCTCCAATACTTTCATGTGCTGCCTCCAGTTTACGCTCCATCTACAGACAAGAAATCAGTCATCAGAAGTTGAAGGAACTCTTGTACAAATTGATTCTGCTTCCACATTTTATTAGCTGCAGTTTGATTTACAGTCCCTAAAGCTCAAAGGTCATTCTAAGAATATAAAAGGAATACAAAACATGGCAGAGCACTCAGCATATGGAAAGTTGTGCAAAACAAAAAGCACCATCTGCAGGCAAGCGTGCTTGGGAGTTTGTAGGCATATGTTTACCTCCCGGAGATTATTGCTGTTCATTTCTAACTCCTCTCTCAAGTCCCGCTCAGTTTGCATGTGGTTCTCTTCAAGTTCCTCATTGAGATCTCTGAGAGCCTCCTACAAAATCAAAAGGTTAATTTCAGTTAAATGTACCAGGTCTGATAGAAAGTCTCACTTTACCCAATTTTCAATCTTCAAAAATTAATAACGGGAGAAGAAAAATAAAAAATTAAAACGTTTGAACTAATATTTAGTAAAAAAGTGCTTGCATCCTATTCATCTATTTTGTTTAGGGGGATGTAGTTGGGTATAACCATCACAGAACAGCTTTTATCTTTTAACATAGCTAAAACAGAGCTAAAACAGAGCTCACATAACAGTCAGGCACAAGTTAATTTCTTCACGACTTTACCCAACTTTTCTTCTACAAAACAATAATTATTTTAACAGAAAAACCTGGGGAGTGCAGTAAGTAGATCGCTTTGAAATTAAATAATTATGTAATAGATGAACTCACTAAATCTGCAACATTTTCTCGGAGTGTTCTGATTTCTTCTTCTAAGGCCAGATTCTTATCTGTAAGAGTTTCAACCATTTCCTCTGCTCCTAAAGCAGTGTCAACCTAAGAATAATGTTAAAATTAAGAAAAAAGAAGTACTTTCACTTTTTGTGCAGTCGAGATAAATACAACAATTCATTGAGACAATAAAATTTGATTGTGTGCATGAATAGGTCAATACTTTTTTCAAGTATACGGTTTGCTGATTATAAGAAAGGCTTAAACTTAATTTATTTCTCTGTTTCAATCATGCAGTTAAGGTGATAAAGTTGAAATATATATTGTGGTTAAAAGCAATTTAACATAAGCCGAGTTAAACACGAAACAATGGTGGTCAGCAACCTCCCCCATTGCAGGCATGCGGAGTGGTGGGGGTCTATAGGGGGTCGTGTGGTTTTATAGCTCAGCTGTTGAGGTCAACTCATTCTCTCATGTGCTAGGCCCGTTTCAGTTATGCTCGGCGACTTCACTCCCTGCCCTCCCTCTCTCTCTGTGGTAAGTATGAGGTAAGAATGTTCCACTGTTTTTTTAGTGCAACCTTGCCTGGTGGCTGCCACTCACAGGGTTGTCATGGTTACCTTACACACTCAGCTTTTGTGCTTGTTGCTCCACGATTCAGGCACCTTCCCCAAGCTCATCTATTGTTGACGCGTTTAAATTAAAACAAACAAGCAAACAAACAAACAAACCACATACTTGATCTTTAAGTTCAGCCAAAGAAGATTCAGCCTCCTGAAAAGGAACAAATTTAAGCAGCAGATAAGAGCTAACAGATTATGCACCCATAAGATATGTCATTGTTGTAGGAAATGTCTGAGATTGATAACAGACACAACAAGTCTTGCTTTTGCCGAGCAGAGGCAACATTAATGAAGGCATGGAGATTAAAGTTAGGTTAATGTATTTCCAATCAACACTATGGGGTTCTCTGATGATTTTGCATACATGGAACTTGTTGCATCAAAGTTTGCTTGTAACATAATAATGGACACACAAGGAAAGATGTCTTATTAATAGCAAAATAGGCCATTGCAGTTTTGAATTACCAATACTTATACCTGACCCTGAGGCTGAGGGAAATAAAACAAAATAAATGATTTATCCATCTCTGGATATCAATGCAATTTCTTTTGTTTTATACCCCTATTAGCCTCAGGGCCAAGTATCGGTATGAATTATAATAATTTGAAACTGGCATATTTTGATTTACTGTTGATGTATTTCAATGCTTACAGGCATGCTCAATAATGATAACTAGGCACAAAGCCACTACATTATAAGTAAAGTGAGAGAAAAAAGGGATTATCTGATGGTTCATAATAATATTCATGTACCTGCAACTCTTCAGACAGTCTATCTCTTTCATTTTGTAGTGTTGTGTTTCCAGTTTGAAGGTCCTTGATTTGTTTTTGTAATGACTGCATCTCAGCTTTGTCACTTGCTTGAACTTCTTTAAGCCTGATACAACATGCACAAACATTACAACAAGCATAAAAGAACATTACAAGAAACTGGAATATTATTCCAATATTCCTCTCTATTTCTGTGCCTTTGCTATTTTATTTACAAATTTGGTCTTCATCTTGATTTCACATTCTCCAAGACTGGGAAACTTTATCTTGCAACACAATGTCTTTCTTTTTATGTTTTCTATCTAGAATATCCAAATTTTTATAGAGCAAGAGGAATGGTAAATGTAGTTCAGTCACCTAAGGATCGCTTCCTTTAATCTGCCGTTTTGCTGTTCAAGTTGTTTCACCTGAGCATTTGTGGCAGCACCTTCAATACCTATAAGTATTAAAGACAAAGTCAGTAAAAATCTAAATCTACATGTATATCGTGATAATTCCAATTCACTTACTTTATCAAATGTAGGAAAACTCTCCTAGATTTGAATTCCTAAGAACCATATCAAAGTTCAGAAAGGGAAAGAAAATTTAATTGTGGCTTATTTAGGCATCTTCATGTGATAGTTGTGCAGTGACAGCAAAGAAATGTAGAAAAAAGTGTACTCCAACAGCAGCATTGTAAGATGTTTTGCTTATTAAACCTATCGCTTTTTCATGTTTTGGTTGCCGTTCCTGTGGTGGGATCTTAAGGTCCCTAACTTGTCCTCAACACTGAAGAAAGAGTTCAACTGAGCCCTTTTTTAAATTTCAAAGTAGTACTTGAAATTACCTCCTTCACTGACTTCATTCTTCAGGATTTCTAAGTCCAAAGTGACCTCTTCTAGTTTCTCCTTTAGTTGATCATTTTCTTGTTGAAGCGATTCCAACTAAATGCAAAAATACCACCATCAGAGAATGCAACATGGCCAAGAAATATTTCTGGGTACTGGAAATAAAATTTTGTGAGTAGAAGAAAAAATAAAATCCCACAAAATGTTGGGAAAAATGTAAATGCTTGTTTGTAGTGGAAGTGCACTTGACTGCTCTACAGCTAATTAAAAAACAGGCTACTTGTATTCCCTTAAACAAATAATCAAATTCAACATAAAATGATTAAAAACTCCACTCATGGGAGGTAAACCAGTTAGCTACATTTATTACAAGTGTGAGTGAAGAGTTGAACTTGTGACTGCGGAGAAACAATACAGCCATTAATCAGAGATCACTTGAACATGCACTAACAATCGGTAACACTGCCCTCTTTCAGCTCTTATATTACTTTATGAGTAAATCATTAATTATTACTCTTTCTTCAGCCATTTCCTTGTCCAGTGTTGCCATTTCAACAGCTTCTTGCAATTCTGTCAACTCTTCACTGTGCTCTTGACGATTTTCACTCAACTCTTTGAGTTCCTGTTAAAATTAAACAAAAAAATGATTAACTTGATGATGATTTCTTCAATACTGTTATTCACTGTAGTTTGTCAATCTAAGACTTAAGTTGGTGCCTTTGTTTGCAGGAATGTGGGAAGAGTCTTTGAACCTCTTTATGACCAGAAAAATAAGTCAGTCAATAAACCAAGCAAGAGCATTTCCTCCCAACTTCATGCTGTAATGTCTAACACTAAATAGTTTGGGCTCCTGCCTTCCCAGGTTTTGTCCTTGTGGGCACTGTCAAATAATCTTTCTATTTTTAGATAGCAGCATAATGCTCTGAAAGGTGACAAGACTGCAGTTTTTAATGCTGCAGATGCAATGTGTGACTGTATATACCGTTGAAGTGAAAGTGACAATAAGAGTGAATCTGCATAAATTTCTTTTTCCATTGTAGTCCATGTCTACTAGAAGCATTGCTGAAAAAATGCGAATATATGTTTGTGTTGTGGTTCAATTTTAACCTTGTTTTAATATTATTTTCTTTTGTTTTGGGTATGGTAATGCAGGATAACAATTTTGTAACAAAGGAAAATTTAAAACCATGGGTTATGTTGAACCATAACACATGTACATAAACCATAGACATCTAGTAAAATGTGTCAAAGAAAATATAATTATTAGCATACATGTAGTACTTCATAAAATTTAGCAACCATTAACCAATTAGATTGTTCTGTTTGGAATAAATACAATCCAGCCCTATCTATTCTAACAGGCAGTGGTAAGAAACTAAAAAGTTATTATATATCTACATTTTGGAAAAAAGATATTTGAATATGTGCAAATAAGCTCTGTTTTCAAACACAAACAGTGCAGCAGGAGTTAAATTCTGTGTCTACACTAACTGCTGCACAATCAAATTAGTTCAACTGCTCCAAAAACAACTTCAAAGAGGGGTTTCTTATTCACACACACTTGAATTATTATTCTCCAAATAATTTAATATATTTTTACCCCTACACCTGAAGGATAATCAAAATTTGTTAATGCAAGCAAGTCACTATGGATTAGTGCAAGAACTTTACCTTTTTGGTGGTATTCAACTGTGCTTGTAAATCTCGTTGTGCCTCTTGCCATCGGGTTTTATACTCTTGCATCTACAGTGAAATTACCAAACCACTTTATATGACCCTCCATGGTTGAATGCTCAAAATATAACATAATGGGAAAATTTCTCTCATAAAAACTAAGCTGCAGTAATAATAAAATTAATAACCAACAAACTAGGTTTTAAAAAATATATGTACAGGGGCTGTATCAGTTAAAACCAGTATTTTTCATTCAAACCATATGGTAAAAATCAGGTGTCTGTAAAACTTGCCCATGTAAACATGAAAACAGAATAAGGACATGTTCTGTTTACAAAAGAACAGCTAACAGTGACATTTAATTCCATCAAGGTAAACACCTTGACACTAAAACTTACACATAAACGTTTCTCTGCTAAAAAGCTGGAACACAGAAGTATATTAATTTAAAAATACGATCCCTCAAAATATTGAGATTGTGCACCAGTTATTGCTACATTGTATGCAACAACTTATTTCAATAACAGGCAAACTGGAAGCAACAATGTTTATTTATTATTTCAGAATACATAATTGGCTGAATGTTGGCAGTTGCCTAGCAACAGTTTTAAACATTTTAAATTTGGCTGCTACATAAATTATGTTACCAGTCAAAAGTAAATTCTGGTTAAAATTTTTTAAACATAAGTTGATTCTCAGTTTCCTTTGTCTCCTAGCCCTAATTATCAGTTGTTTCCCAACTTCCTTTGTATCCCAGCACTAATTCATTAATAATAAGGGCCAGGAGACAAAAGGAAATGGATAATCAATCTAGGTTAAAAAGTTTTAATCTGAATTTTATTTTGACCTGTAAAAAACATATTTTGATGGTTGTCGTGTTTAACTAATTTTTTTACTAAATTTTTATTGTTATATCTGCAAGTTTAAAGACTTCTTTTCACATGCAAAAAATTTCATTTTAATTAAGAGAGAATTTTGCCTTTGAAAGTTCTGAAAAGCAACCCACAATTTTCTCCTTATAAGGCTGATGATTAAGCAGTCAGAAAGGTTGTGAGAATCAATTGTAATCAAAGACAAATGCTTCTGATATTTTCATAAGAGAGATTCAAAGAAGGCTTCATGAAAAGACTTATTGTTAACACCTACGTACACAATGTACATGTAACTAACCTGTTCAAGCTGCATTCTTGTTTTTTCTAGCTCTTTCATTTTAGCTTTATCTTCCTGTCGCTTGCTTTTTAATGTCTCCAGCTTTTCTTCCAGGTCAACAATGGCTTTCTCCTTTTCAATCACCTATAACCATATAAGTACATGTTATTGTAATGAATTAAACACAGATTTTCATTAAAATGAGTGTGCCTTTAAATGATGTTAGTCTTTAGTTATATTTTAACTTTATTGTCTCAGAACATCCAGTCCAAAACAATAGAGACCTTAAGTAAGATATGTTATGTTACCTGTACATGATTACATATAGACAAACATGCATTAAGAAACGTGCTTAATTCGAGTATCGACATAGCATAAAAGTGCTAATTAAGGACACTACTTTTATGTCTCCCAATGGTGATGAGACTGCCATTTTATGTGGTCATCTAAGCCCCGCAAACTTCTAGCCATTTACAGGACAGAAGTAGTACCTTCATTTCTCAGTTATTTTAAGACCCTGAGTATTGGTCTGATCCCGGGAATTGAGCCTATGACCTCCAGCTCAGCAGTCAAGTGCTCTACTGACTGAGTTAGTCCTGCCAAGGTAATGTTTGTCATGGAGTTTATAGAAGGCAACCATGATTTCCAGATGGAATTTTACCCAGTGGCCTAGCCATTTGTCTGGGGGCAAGAGGTGGTCTTCTCTTATTTTTACCAAAACTGAGCGATTTCTCATTCGCTGATTGTTCAAGAGCTATGTTCCATAAGAGGACAGACTATGGAAATGACATGATGGTGGTGCAATTTCTTATCTGCTTTTCTCTTTCTTGCATGCACGATTTTCCAAGAAACTTCTCAAAAACTGTCAATGTTATTGTAAAAAAACAACTCAACAACAATTTCCCATGGACTGTTCTCTTATCAATGACAAATGCTCAAAACTCAAATGGAGCGGCTCGTGGTTTCACTGCCATGTTTGGAAGAGTATAGGTCGAGGAAAATTGTTGTTGATTTCTTTAATGTACACTGTATTTACGGCTACAGTTAATTACCGGTAACTTGACGCAACCCTCCAAGTAAAGGTTCTTGCTCGGTTGCCATTTGGTAACCAACTCTTTTGGTTCAGGGAGACTTTTTTACAAATCAAGTCACCAGCTGCAAAATTTTAGGCACCATGGTGACCAGACTGGTCACAACTTGGAGGGTTGTTATGCATACACAAAAGCAGGGTATCTTTTTAAAACCTTTTTCTGAAGTGCCATATGCTCATCAACAGATACTGTTGGTCCTGATGACTTCCTCTGACCTGAAGAGATGGGAGGGACACTTGTAGCAGGGGACACGCTAGGTGAACTGTCACGCACAGCAGGCTCTGGAGCAGAGGAAACACTTGTTTTTGGTGTAGCTATCTTTGATGATGGAGGAGAAGCCTTACTGCCTGTATTGTCCAAGGAACCTCTTGATCCAAATGACTGCAACAAATTGAATATGAAAATTAAATAGAAATAAATAATAATCACGTTCTCTCAGGGTTGTCATTATGAGGCGGGGGCCAGGGATTTCCCCCGGCTACTAAGAACTTGGCCCCCAGCTACTTTCATAGGAAAATAGAACAAAAATAGAACCAAAAGAAATCCCTAGCTGTTTGATTCCCCGCCTACTTGTTGTATTTACCCGGCAACTTGAAATCTTAGTGACAGCCCTGTCTCTTAATTGAGCACTAAACAATAAATTGCACTTGTTATTTGCAATAACAAGTTTGATTGTTAACGAACACCTTCTCTAAACGTCCAATCGGACTCAATTCAAGCAAAACTTTTTGCGTGACTGTGCACATTTCATATATGCTAATCATCATCCGAAAATTTTTTTGTCAGTTTATCAGCAATCACTTTGAACTTGAAAATGGTGTCAAGATGACACCCAAACGTTGTTCGTTTTTGTCTGTGTTATTTTTTACTTCTTTCTGTATAACTAAACCTTTGCTTATTAATTAATACCATGTTTAAATAAAGCTTATGTATGTTGTTGTGTGCATGCCATGTATTTTTATTTCATTTCCCCACATTAGCCAAAATTGCATTTTATACTTTGCCCTAATCATACTAAAGAAAACTGAAACCAGGAAGATGAACTTCTAAGCTGTGGTCTTGGGTAAAGAGAAAAATATTGCCACTCAGGAGTTTCGAACCCATATCCTCAGAACTAAAAAATAACACTTCTCTCCACTAGACTACCTCTGCAATCACTTAGCTTCTACAGTGCAAGTTCAAAAAGAGGTAACTATAAATTCCCCCTCTATGATGATCGACAGCTTCCAAAAAAGACTTTTTGGTTCCTTTTGGGTAGAATTAAATCTTTAACTGTTTGTACCTAGACATAAAGCTAAAACTTACCCTCTCCTTTTTCATTGAAGACGGCAGTGGAATAGAGGAACCTCCTCCAATGCTGGACCGTGGAGCTGAGCCACGCTGTGGGGTGGGTGAGGCAGGCACATCCTCAAGCACTGTAATCTGGGATTGTCGCACAAATATTCCATGGTTTTCGGCACACTTGAAGTATTCTTTTCCTTGAACTACACAGATTCAATAACAAGCATTGCACTGTACTGTTAGTCATGTTTTTCAGTGGTTGTTTGGCAAAATTTATGGTACCATGGCCAAATCATCTAAAGACAAACAATGTCCCAGGCATGGGCAACGGATGAATAAAAATGTTCCATTTTTCATCCGCACCCCTTTATAGATAACTGCAATCCAAACCGTCAAATTTTTGTTGGCACCTTTTAAAAAATATGTCCGAGGGGTCCAAATGTTGTTGGCTCCTTTGGGGGTGTTTACATGAGAAAACTCGCATCGGCGAGAGTTTCATTGCGAGATGACTTTTTTATTTCGTATCGTTTTACATTATGACTGGGTCATTTCATGTCTCGTTATTAGAAGGTACACTTCGTGTTGATAAAATACACGTAAGATTCAAAATCACAAACATTATGCATGCGTTACCTGTTCCAGTCTACCAGCAGACTGATCTCACACCAAAACTTGTGGTCATTTCACATTTACATGATACTGTTATGGGATTTCATACCGGATTGAAATGCTCACCCCAGTACAACAACTGGGGTGAAATCACACCAGGGTGACTCATGCCAGCATGACATTTTGTGGTGGTATCATGTAAACAAATGTAGAGCCATGAGAGGGAACCGGAGTGAACTCACTCAGGAGTGAAAGTTGCCCCGGTGTCATGTAAACACCCCCTTTGAAGAAAAATCCAAACCCCCATATTAAAAAACCCGCCATCGTTAGAGGGGTGCGGATAAAAAATGGAATGTCCTTATGGGATTAGCTTGTTTAGATTTGACTTAATGAAACAATAGATTTATATAATTACATTTTTTAAAAAATAGATCACGGTGTTAATCAGCTCGAAAGAAATCCTTTGAGAAATGATGACGATCGATGCTTCAGTAACTGTACCAGCAGACAATGCAAATTTTCATAGAGGTTCACCTCCCCAAGGGGGGGGGGGGGGGGGGTTGGGGGGTGACTCCCACGTAAAAGTGATGGGGATGCTCGTCGTCTTGCTTAGAGGTGTACATTGCAGATTTTGGTCTCGCTTAGGGTGTTTAAGATTTTGGTCTCGCTTAGGGTGTTTAAGATGCCATTCAGGTATTGCTTAGGGATGTGCATAGAGAAAGTTACAAATAATCCAACAATGTCTGTTTTAGTACGGTCTCATTTAGGGGTCAGTTTAAGGTAGAGCCACACCAAAATTAGCTTAGGGGTTTAATTTTAATTTTCCGACGAGCAATGATCCCCGTCAATTTTATATGGGAGCCCCCCACCTCCCTCCCCGGGTTCAGCTGTGCCTAAAGGATCCTAAAGAAACATTCTCTAACATTTTTTTTTATGGCCTGTTATAAACGTACCTGTACCGTCGTTTTTGCCTTTCGGTTCATCCAGAATGACGCCAATCCATTTGCCAGAAGCGAACATCGTCGCCCCAACATAGGCTACTGTTCCCACAAGACCTTTGCCTACAACCTCCACTCTCATGCCGATTTTAGCGTTTGGCCCAGACATTTTGCTCCTAGTTAATTTCAAATCACTATCTGATTGAATGAGATAAAAAGGACAGCTTTCTGACCACCAAGAGGGAAAAAAAATTCACTACATTTTCTGTGTAAGTGGACCTTCCCTAACAAAGATGGCGGAGATTCGGCGTCTACGCATGCTCAAATTCCAATATTTTTGTTTTCGTCTCCAGTTCTCCACACGCGGCTCTTTCTCTTCTCGGGACGTTTTGTGGAAGCCTACATGATAAGTAAAAGGCCTCAGACCTCATATTCAAGATGGAGGAAGTTGAGGGTAAGTTTTCGATAAAAATAGTAACAATTTAGCCGTAAACCTTTGGTACTGGAGACTGCCTCTTACCCTAGTGATTGTTTCATTCGTTCACCTTAACTTTCCTGTTGTCAAGCTTAACTAGAGGGTTTCCCGTTTTGTTAGCGAACGTAGTCGTAACACCCGAGCGCCTGTACTCGATCCATTCAGCTGTTCAATTTCACCGAAACAGTGTTCAAAATCTCTTCCTGTAAGTGTATGTGACCACGCTCTTCCACGACCGTCTCTGTTGTTTGTTCATAACGGCCAGCCCAAAGATCGAGCTCAGTTTCTATCATCGTCTTAAAGTGTTTTTCCAATATCGCTCTTACCGGCGTATTAACCTGCTGAATTAGTTAAAAGAAAGAAAAATGATGACAACTTATCCGTAAAGTCCGTAAAAGAGAAGGGAGAGATGAGGTGTTCATCGTGTCACAACAAACCTCAAAGGAAACAAAGTTCTGACCAGAAAGGGCGGCAACGTTTGCAATGATGATGTTTTGTTTTATTTTTGGTGCAGTTTTGGTGAAAAATCCTCCTGTATTTGTCTTGTGTTGTAGTTGGCTAATAATACAGCCCTACCTCTACCCAGTGAGTAGAGACTACCTTTTCGCTATGTGAGCTCGTGTGCAAAAAGTAACCTCTGCCGACAACCGTTCAATTTTCTATCGTGCATGTGCGAAATTCGTCATGCGATTCACAAGTTAAATTTGCAATCAAAATTTAATCGTTAGGTGTGTCATCAAGTGGTGCAAGTTTTGCGAGAATAGAAAAATTGCAACAACTCTGATCTGCTATGCAAGACTCACATAATGCTCTAAACTTGTCAAGAACATGAAAAAACCCGTTTTTTAAAATTTATTTGTCCAGATTTCTGGAGGGATCTGAAGGGTTGTCGGCAGTGGTTACTTTTCACATGCCAGCTTACACAGCGAAAATGTAGCCTCTGCTCGCAGGGTACCCTACATGTACCTCTGCCAGAAACCCATAAAACAAAATTATCAATAGAGTCAGATGGTGTTCATAAGTGTAGGACCTATTTTCCATTGGGAGCTTAGAGGAATGATGATGATTAATAAGCAAACAATTAATATCGATATTTGATTGATTTTTTTCAACAGAGGAAGAGGGAGAGATGGCACGGGTGCGGCATCGTCAGCGCCGTGGGATGCTAAAGATGTATTATGGAGTCGGTGAAGAGGCTGGTAAATCAACTGCCATTGATTACTGTGACATCAATGGAGCCCACTTCAAGCCGGAGGAATATTTAGAAAAGCTTTTTAAAGAAAAATCATTGACTGATTTGTTGGACAAAGAGGCTGATATTGCCAAACGTAAGTCAGCACATCCATTTTGTTATTTGCATGTATACCTGGTGCTGTGTTGTTATACATTTGGATGACTTTGACCTGCAAAGATCAGCTGATAACACTGCATGTGTGATGTGATGAACCTTTAAACCCTACAAAAATCCCTCAGGACTATCTTGTGGGTCACATACAACTGTACATGTAGTGCAGACGTGGAAGACCACTTGCTGGACTAGCTCGAGTTGAACTTTAACTAAATGATAGTTAGCTACATTTAAAAAGGAAAGTCAAAATTTGATGTAGGGGCCTTGGCTTTTCTTTCCCTTCCCAACGGCCTTGTCTCTTTGCATGGGTTGCCAGTGCACCAGGCGAGAAGTGATCTCTTTGGAATGTCTCTTACAATCCCCTGCCAGGTTAAATCAGCAACATGCAGCTTTTATGGGAGATAATAGTCATTGCACTCATACACACACTTTCTTATGGTCAGTTTCATTAAAAATGACTATATTTTTTAACTTTTTTTTGCAGAAATCAGATCTTTAGACAGTGAAATGCAGACTCTGGTCTATGAAAACTATAACAAGTTTATCAGTGCTACAGATACTATCCGGAAGGTGAACAATGCATTAATAATACAGTCGAATCTCACTTAATGGACACCCCTATTAGATGGACACCTCTATAAAACGGACACCTAATGTTGGTCCCTGCCTTTCTTTACTCCCTTTACTTGACTCCCTGTAAGACTTTCCTCTCTCTGAGGTGGAAACTTAGGGCCGGTCCTAAAGGAGTCCATTGTAGAGAGAGTGAACTGTATACTTGACTACAGCAAGTAAGAGGCTGCAAGTACATATTGAATACCTGCCAAATACATGTAACACACATTAGGGACCTTACAATCCAACAATGGTGACGTCCATGAAAACATCGTTGAAAAATAGACTTCGTATCCTTTAACTTTTTCGCAATTATACCAAGTCGCCCAGATGAATGAGACAAGCAGTTGAATCCCTCCTTGAGGATACCCTGTCCTCTATTATATACAGTTCTTCAAGTTCCAAAGATGCCAAAGTTCCTGTCTCCATTATACAAACACCTCTAAATTTGGAAACCCAGCTCTGTCCTTGTGGGGGTGTTCTAAAGATTTTTCACTGTACATTAAATTTATGCAACAATAGAAAAACAAGGGAAAGTCACTGTTCAAGATCATAGTTAATGCTTTACGAAAGAATCTCTTGTCTCCGGTTATAATTATACAATTAGTAGGCTTAGTATTGAATCCCTAGGAAGTCTTTTTTTAGGTCTCCTTTCCTTTTATTGCTCATGAAGTTATCCAAGGATCATGCTCATAGTAGGTGGGGAAAAGTTTGCCCTTAGTGACAGCCCTGCAAAGGGGGCCTATTTATTATAAATGATTGTAATATTGTAGGTAGACTCCATTCTCAGGTTAAACCAGTATTAGGTTACTAGGGTTAGCTTTTTGCTAGGGTTGTGATGCTGTTAACATAGGTTGAATGTTAGTTTATCCTAGTCTAAGATTGAATTTTACCTACAGTGGCTAAAGTACATCAAGGGAATTTGTTGGTCTACAGATGGAAAATTTATTAATTCAGTCAACTATCTCTAAGGGGACACCTTTGAGACTTGCACTTAGTGCTTGTCTAAAAGTGATGTCAAGTAAAGGAAGTAAAAAAAGCAGTAACCAGAAACCGCAAGGACGACATGGCACACAGCATGACTAGGATAACTGGAATTACTGGCATAACTGGGATGACTGGGGTTACTGGTGTGACTCGGGTGACTTGGATGACTGAGATGAATAGGTGTCCGTCTTATAGGGTGTCTTTTAAGAGTGTCAACTGTACACAATCTCATGTCATGATTCAGAGAGTAAAGTGCTCAGTTTTCAGTGTGGTGCATGTGTATATTTTATCCAAAAGATGAAGCATGATTTCAAGAAAATGGAGGAGGAGATGGATAAGCTACGTGAAAACATGTCAACCATCACCGAGTTCAGTGAGAAAATAACAGGCACACTACAAGGAAAGAGACAGCAGATAACCAAATTGTCAGGTGTTCATGCATTACTGAAAAAGGTATTTTGTAGCAGGTGTTACTGAACAGAGTAACACAGTAATGAGTAGCAAGTAACAGAGTAATGGGAAAACAATAACCGGCATGACGAGGATAACCAGGGTGACCAGGATGACTATATAACATTCACTGGGATGAACGGGATGACTGAGATTGACTAGGATAACTGGGATGACTAGGATAGCTGCGGTGACTGGGATGACTAGGGTCAGTAGGGTGACTGGGATGACTACAATGACTAGGTTGACTACAATAGGTTGACTGGGATGACTTGGGTGACTGGTATGACTTGAGCGACTTGGATGACTGAGGTGACCGGGATGACTAGGATAGCTTGAATGACTAGGGTGACTGGGATGGCTACAATAACTATGATGACTCGGTTGACAGGGGTGACTGGGGTGACTGGCTTCACTAAGATGACTTGGATGACTGCAACCCTGGTCAAAACTCTGGAGACACTAATGGTGCAGTGTTAACACTATGCATTCAAGTCTGTTTTCAACACAATCTTTCCTCAAGTGTTCCAAGATATTTTGACCAGGGTTGTAGTTCTCTTAGTCACCCAAGTCAGCCTAGTCACCCAAGTCACCTTGAGTTGGGTGACTAGGCTGGCTTGGGTTACTAGGATAACTATAGGGTGACTTGGGTGACTAGGGTGACGTGGTTTACTTAAAATAACTATGGTGACCAGGGTGACTTTGTGTAAAAAGATTCTTTCTCGCTGTCCTCTCTCAACAGCTTCAATTCCTTTTTGAGCTTCCATCAAGATTGCATAAGTGTGTTGAAATGAAACAATATGGATTGGCAGTCAGGTAGCCAGTTACATTGTTGTATTTTAACAAATTGTGTAAGATTTGTTATGTTTCAAATTTTTTAAGGATACGTGTAGATCACTAAAATATTTTTGTTGATATTAAATTGCATAGGTTACATGTATATTTTAACATCTTCCTTAAACATGACATCGTTTTAGATCAGCATTGACATGAAAAAAGTGGAATTTTTTAAAGAATGAGTGAGGCGCGCTGATATTGTTATGCATACTTTCTCCTTAAGAAAATTAATTTTGTAATGTTACTGTTTTATTTACAGGTATTATACAAAAGCAAGGGACGTCCTACATCATTACAGCCATATGCCATCATTTCATGGCATTCATCAAGATTGTGATGAGACTGTCAAACAACTGATAGTTCAACTACGGGAACAGCTTAGAAATCCAAAGGTTATTTTAACCAGCTTATTGATTCTTCCTTTACTATTATTTGCATTGCACACATTGAGCCTCATTCTTTTTTATTCTGATAGGTTTACGTCAACAAGTGTATTCTTTACGCTGCATGACTGTGACTTTAATCAGACTCCTTATGGTATTGACTTCTTTGACATCCGTTTTTTCTTTCAATACAGTCCACCCCCAAACAATTGGCAGAGTGCGTTGATCTACTGCTTCAGCTGAAGGAGCCTGCAGATGAGTTGTGTGATGAATTCCTTGCACAGTAAGATTGATAATCTTTTTAATTCCTTGCTCTTTGCCTCTAAGAGACATTTTACAAAAGAGACATCTGAAATTTGACCCCAAAAATTCCATACTGATGAGGTAGATATGTCTGGAATCTGATCAACAAGGGCTCACTGGTCGGCGTAGTAATTCCATTGGTTTTGCTGTTGTTCAGAATGACAGACAAAATACAAAAAATTACAGCGTTCAGATGTAAATGCCACGAACCTGCCTACTATAAAAACAGTCATTATTTGTGGAATAAAATCTTCTTTACCAGAAGCATTTGAATTGGTGGTTTTGAACCATAATTCAGACAACCCTTTTTGATCAGCTCTTAGATTTTGCTTGCCTAGGTCCATTGCATCCTTAGCTTATAATTTAGCTAGAAGATGGTTTCCTGGGTCCTTAAAGAGTTACTAGTCTTGTCCAGCAGGAAAAACTATTTGTCCCAGGGATCTGGAAGACACTTTTTTGAGCCTAGCATTGGGATCTTTCAGTTGTCTTTATTGTTGTACTTGTAGTGCTCAAGAGAGATTGGATGAAAGTTTAAAGATTCTCAAAGCACAGGTGGACTTGAAGCTGTCCGAAGACGTATCCGTTAGTGAAGAAGGCAAGTAATTTAAAAGCGTGACCTAGACTTTCCATGGATTAGTTGTTTGTTGAAGAAATCTGTTCTTTTGTACAATATTGAAGACAAACTTTGTTCTGGACGTTTGGACAAGTGATCTTAAGACAAAAAAAATCATATTATATTTTTAAGACCTGTGTTGTTTCTAGATACAGCCCGGTAAAAAGCAGTTAGACTGTTAGCTAACTGGACGAAATGATACCATTGAGAGGAAAACAATGCTTGGCAAATAAATGTACAGAGTAACGTGGCCTTCATAGTGTGAAGCATTAACAGACTTTCTCTTTAACAGGGAAAGACGATAAGAAGGCAGATGAGGAGAACAAAGTACAAAGACCAATGGTAAGAGGACAGAGTGCACATTGAGCCTACAGCTGTTATGAATTTGGTGGTTATTTATACATAGTTATTAGAGGAGAGTGGTTATGAAAAGAGGCAAACATCAATGATAAAAACAACAGTGCAGCAGTTTATGTTGGAAGCACCCTGAAAGTGCACAACCCTTTGTTTTCTATTGGTAAATTGTCACGGAATAAATTAATGCAACATTTTTATTGGTCAATACAATCAAAATGAAAGGAATGCTTTTGAACGTTGTGCACTTTCAGGCCCACAAAAACATAAAGCAAAGGAGTCTGACGGGTTTCATAACCGTTCCACTCAATTAATTATTAATAAACTGTTGATGAATTATTTGTGAATGGTAGTCAATTGTATTTCAGGACTTGTTAGAATTCATTGATTGTGGCTGTAATGGCTTCCTCAGCACAATCTGCTTAGTGATTGCCTCATACAAGGAGCAGTTTATTCAGAGACAGATGGCAGGGTAAGAATCATAAATATTTATAATTTTTTCAAAGAGTTTTTCACCCTTTATGTTGTTTAGTAGCTATACTAAGATTAGTGCACAGAATGTAACTCAGTCTGACTCTCTGTTTAGTTCCTATTATTTTTTAACGTATCACTCCATGAATTTCATTTTACTTATTTCTTTGTGACTGGCCAGCCCAGTCTTCACAAGCCTTCTGGTTTCTTCTGTGCTCCCCTGCCAACTTGCAATTCGTATAGGTATCCCTTTATTGTATTATATTTGGGCTAAATAAAATTGAACTGAACTGAACTGAACCTAAAATGCAGAACTGAATGAATGTATTTATCAAGCCTGTGCTGTCTGAGATTTCAGTAAATTCTTTCCTAGCACTTAAATTTTGAATATTTTTCTACCCATTTCAAGACTATCATCATCATCGTTATCATCATCATCATCATCATCATCATCACCATCAAGTCGTGTCATCGTGCCAGTAACATACGGCCATTCAGTGCTGATTATACCCCTTATTATGTTTTACTGGTGAAAGGGCAGTAACTTCGACACGTACCATGTACTTCAAAAGTAAGCACAGTAGAATTATACTGAAGCCTTACACATTATGGTGAGCTCATTTAACAAAGTGGCAGAGGAAAAAGTTTACATTGCTTGTGACAAGTTTAAACCTATGTTCATCCCTTTTCCATTACGTAGGCATGGTCAAGACCAGCAAGAACTGGAAAAGATAGTCACTGAGAAGTTGACAAATTTTATTTTGTCTTTGATGAGGGAGTACTTTAAACTTACGGAATCAAGAATTGAACAGGAGGTATGTGGTTTATTAGGGTTTACACATTCGCTATTGAGGCAACTGAAATTGTAATCTGTGCATGATTCAAGCTTAATGTTCTGTGGTCACCTTATGGCCTTATACGCCTACTGGCGTTACGAGACTTAATGATTATCGTCTCCCAGTGGCACATACGTTTGAAACGTTTTCTTTTGTTTTAGTTTAATTACATGTTTAGCTTTTCCCTCTAATTTTTGTTTACCTTAATAAAGTGTACACAATCAAGCCACAGGAATGGTAAACTAGAATCAATAAATACATTTTGTTTGGGGTGAATGGATCTAACGTTCGCAGAAGGAGTGATTAAAATTTGACGTTAAATAACATTGTGCGAGTAATGAACTCGTCCTACCATGAAAAAATATACTATACACGTGTGAAGATTTTTTCTAAAAGCAACTGATCACCTTTTACACCTGAGACCCGTGTTTCATGCCCGGGGCATTGTCCATTTCTGACACGTCTTCCCTGTTTTTCGCCGATAATTTTGCTGTGCCTCATAAGACTCCACAACAAGTCTATTAAACAAAGCAAATAACACCTCAAAATTGGAAAAATGTTCTTACTCAAAAAAGTAAAATAATTGAATGAAAAAAACGTTACGAACTCAGAACTGCCCTGAACATTTCCAGATTGTAAGGTGATTGTACTAAGTAAATCTTTTTCTCTTAGTCTGATACAGGTGATAATATTCTGTTAGTACGAGCACTGGATCGTTTTCACCGCAGGCTTCAAGCTGTGCAGAAACTCCTCCCTGAGATCGGTGTCGGACGGTACGTTGTCTCAGGCTGCGTTCACACGGCCCGGGCGAATTTTCAACTGGTTTAGGTGTTTCATTCACACGGAACCACCCTAACCGTCCCAAAATTTAGGGGTCCAGCCGTTCAAGTTCGGTGTGAACAGGGCGAAAGTATTGAACGGACCCTTGTGAACGAAGCGTCCGGTCCAATTTTTCAGCCGATCGAAAAGTGGTCCGGCGCTCACCGTGTGAGTGAGCCTCAACAGCAGTAATGTGCGCATAAAATTGACCTTTTTCGGGGGAAGGAATTTTACGCTGTGTGACGGTTCAAGGATTTATTTCTGTGATGAAGGGAACAAATTGCTTCATCAAAACGAGTCAACAAGTCATCCAATGAATGCTTTTCTCATTTCTGTGAACCAATCAAAATACACCGTGACATTTTGGGTCTTTACGTAACGTAAAACTTGACAGGCCTGTTATACGACCGTTGGCCACCTAAACATAAAAGAACGTGAGAATTTATGAGATTCCGCCACATCAGTACTTTATTATCAATGAGCTTATGACGCCATCGATGGTAACGTATCTTTTCCCGCGTAAAAGCTTTATTTGAAGCACCCTATAGTACTATGAATGAGCCAATGTGGTGGCTCAGGTCACCACAAGAAACACATGGCAAATTTAATTTTGAAAAATGTGTGGAAACGAAAGCAGAATTGAGCTTTGCATTGAATGGTCACACAGCATTCTTGTTTTGATTTTCCTCCCCTTGTTCCCTGCTAGACTATCAAACACTTCAATAATGTCTGTTTCCAAGGCAACAAATGATGAACCCATAGACTCCATGCACCGTTGAGCTGGTTTCAGTTCCAGATTGTCATGTCTGTATGTTGGTAGGAAACTGAAAAAAACAGGATTTGTTTCTTCGGAACAAACTTCAGGCAAATGCATATTCAACTTTGTGGCCTTATATTCATTTAGACCCCGTCCACACGTATCAAGATATTTTTGAATCCGCAAATTTTTCTTTGCGGATTCAAAAATTTCCACGTCCACACGTACCCGGATTCACTCTCAGTTCGTCAGCCAATTTGTAAAGCGATCTTCGGCTCATGCGAAACTTTTATCGCCAATCTTCTTCACTAACTGTTTCACTGACAAAATTGTCCCACTAAGCACTAGTCAGTAGCTCCTTTAACTTGTTTACGGCGTCCAATTCGTCCGTTCGACATTGATAAAAGCTTTAAAATGTCGAGCCACCGTTTGGCATAATTGAGGTGCACAGTAGTCATAGCTAGGTTTAACTGCACACACGTTATAAAACTTGAAACTGAAGTCCAAGCCGTAAAAAAGCGATAACATTGCGCTCGGCACCGTCTTCAATATTCGCGGTAAAGAACTGGGCTGAATCTTGTGACGTCACTGGATAAAAAAAAAATAGGGATTTAGCGTCCACACGATTCCGGATTCATACGTATTCAAAAATTTCCGCTCTGGATAGCGGATTCAAAAAGTTGCGGATTCACATGCTGGATTCCTTGGATACGTGTGGACGGAAGCCGAATCCGTAAAGAAATAGTTGCCGTTTCAAAAATGCCCTGTTACGTGTTGACGGGTCCTTATTTATTTTTGTTTAGTTTGGGAGCAAATATTGTTGCCCGCTCAGCCCATAACAGAGTGAAAGCTTACGCTCAAAATCTTAGACAACACTTTCAGGGTAAGTTATAGACATTTTAATGCATGTTTTGTAAACACCAAAGCATTTATATAAATAAATAAATAAATAGATAAATAAGTAACTAAATAACGATTTAGAGGTCGCACATCCACATGATGGTTCTTCGTCTACCATTTGGCTGGTCAAATGGTTTTGGAAATTGGAAGCCTAAAATGCTTTCAAAACGATCCGACCATGTTGGAAAGCGATTCCTTAGGTTTGTGAGCAGCGCCTATCATTCTTTTTCATGCTTGCGTAAAAAAACAAACCCCTTTGTAAATGCTATGATTATGATTGTGATAATGAATTATCGATCAATCGCCATTTTTTTCTTACAAATATTGATTAACAAAACACATTTAAGATGTTCGGTTACAGTTTCGTGTCGGATTAATTTCTCTGTGAATATCGTTTGCAATAGCAAAGTTATAAATTCCAGAAAAGAAACTAAAATCTCTTTACTTTGATTAAATTTGTTTCTATCCTTGAGCCTTCAAAACGCAACCCCTACCTTTTACTCCTACTTTTTAGCTTAGTAGATGTTTGTGTGTATAGTTTGTTTAACAGATATCAGACAGTCCCTAGCTGCTCCTTCGCCGCCTTCTGGAAGCGAGAAGCCTCCTTCCCTTTCTGAGTTGTTGTCTACCATGAACAATTCTCTCACCAACCGACTGAAGATGACCCTCAACAACCTCAAGGTTTGTGCAGTTAGTCAGACACTTCAGCTTGTTTGAACTATGATTTCTTTGCTACAACCAGAACGTTAATTTGCCCAAATTTTGGTATTTCGTACACAGCGAAAAGTGAAGTTCGGCACTTCTTTGACGAAATCCAAAGCCCGCTTATTTAAGTAAAAGAAATTGCGACAGTGCGACAGAAATGTCGTTCCCACATATAAAGTTACCTAAGAAAAAGAGCACTTGTTGTTTTGTTTTGTCAGACGTTCATCGCAAATGACGTCACATTTGCTGTCAAACCCTACTTTCGAGGTCCGTTCTGTTCTGATGACGTCAGAGAAGGACTGGCAGTGGAGTTTGTTCGTCACGTGATACAGTCAGCTAAGGTCAGTACCATACTACTGACAAAGAGGTGATGTCTCCAAAATCAGTCAATTGCCGTGTTGTTTCCCGAACATCTTTTTCTTGTTTGATTATGTTCCTTATCATGTAGCTTTAACATAGCATTTTCTGCGATCCATGTATATTCTCAGGAGTTTTGCGATGTGGGGACCGCTCCACCTGCCCTTATTCTGCTGCTGTCAAGGCTGTGTCTTGATTTTCAAGAATCCACCATCTCTTATGTGGTATGTGCTTTTCTTGTAAGCTGTGTTTTTAAGTGTCGCTCATGGCCGGGTACACTGTGCGTTGCCTAGCCAAGGCCCCATCTCTTCATGTAGGTAATCCGCTAGGAATGACAACAGCCAACTTCTTCAACCGAATGTTTTCCTGTCTTTGCCTTTTTTTAAAATTTATCCCAAGTACAGTCGTAACTTGTTTACTACGAACAGTTCTGTTGGTCGCTAATTTCACACAATCCCTCCCTATATAAAAAGGACAAAAAGGCTTGCATAGCTGTACAGTTATTTAAACCCCTCCTTTATGGCCACCTTTTGTTGTTGCAACGGTCAGGGAATTCACCGCGAAATGTGGCCGCTTATAGGAATTTCTACTGTAAGGTGAAAAAGACTTAAAGTACGAAGGTTTGTTTCCGTAGTCATCAAGAAGACACGCATCAAACTAGAGTTGTTGAGAACTTTTTGTCAATGATGTTCTTTGTTTCAGTTTGTTGGTTTTTTTATGTTGCCCAAAATAAGATTTGTAATATCTTTCTTAGTTTTCTTTCAATTTGTTGCTTAGTTAGAGTAAAGTGAACAATTGATAAAACTTCAGTATTTTTCATGTCAGCTGAGTCTCACTGATGAACAATTTCCAGTCGATGAGGAGCTAGGGAGAGGAAGTCTAACGACTTCTGCGTCTGATCTTGCTACTGAGGCTCGTCACACTGCGCAGGTCAGTTATCAAATCCTCTCAGGCCCCTTAATCTAGGCCCCTTAATTATGCGCCTTACTTCTTAGGTTATTTTGGGATAGATGGTCCGTCCAACCACACTTTGTTTATAACCAGGTACTTTTTTACAATTCACGATGACATTTGAGAAGGTAATGTTGGTCTGTAAAACTTTGGGATGAAAGTTTGGAGTTACCGGACCAACCCGAATCTTATCAATGGATAGAGCGCCGGCCCGGTGTTTGGCATGGGATCCAATCCCATCGGGGACTCCAAATTCATTTTTGCGCCTCACCTTGGAACAAATTGCGATTCCTGCTACACAAAATGAGCCCTTCTTCCGAGCGACCAGTCATTAGGTGATTTGTTTTATGTCTTGATTCCACTGAAAAATACTTTCAGTACGAGTACAAAATTTATAAAAGTCAATGTCAGCGAGTGGTCAACATTTGCGGTAACAGTGCAGTGTTACCCTTTGACGTCATTGATTTTGCGATATCGCCCGCTCAGAGATTTTTGGCGGGAAACAGTTGAATAAGTAGATGTCATGTGGTTTCGAGGTAAACCAACGCTGTTTTTTTTCCTTTACAGAGCTTGTTAAACCATTATGTAAGGATGCAAGGACTGACAATATCACAGGTATGCCTCCCTCACGACTAATCTGACCAATCATGAAACTACCATATCATTAGACTTGTTGAACGATGTCTTTCTGTTCATTCGAATTTTCAGTCATCAGTAGCACGGTACTCAACCGAAAAATTCTAATACCAAACCAATAGACCTTTTTAGCTCGTAAGTTTTGTTTTCCCATTCCAGACCACGTGATGGTGCCCCAGGGAACTGTTTCTTTCAAATGTCGTCTGATGCACGCGCATCCACGTGTATATGCATAGTTAATAGGGACTTTAAGATCCAACGTCGCGACGGCGACAAGAACGTCGCTTAAAGAGTGAATTTACGTTCTTTCAGTCTTTTTACCGATTATTCCTACCCACTTACTTTGTCAATTGTAGGCGAACCCTCCTGAAGCTGAATTTCAAGGGACCAAATTCAAGCTCAGAAAGAGAATAAGATTTCGTCGTTGCTTGTTTACGTCCTCCATAAAACGCGAAATTAGGCATTTTCACGTCGTAGTCGTGCAAAAACGGGACAGAAATGTACAAAAAAGTGTGATGCACGTGCGAAGTTGTTGTGCTAATTAAACCAATTGTTTTTTTGACGTTCTCGTTGTCGTCCGCGTCGTTGGATCTTAAAGTCTCTAATGAAAAGACATGGAGAGCGTCACATGGTCTGAATAGGGAAAACAAAACATACGAGCCAAAAAGGTCTATTCTTGAGGACAGGAGCCTAAAATGGCCTAAACTTGCGTGAGAGTCAAAGCACAAGTAGTTTCTGACTCTCTCGAAGAATATTCACTCAAAATGTTTTTCATGTTCACCCCTAAACTATATACTTGAAGTGATCGACACTTTGTGCAATATCACTGCTTGTGTTCGTATCGAAAAGACTTGTATCGAAACGACCGAACTCCATAAAATTTACAAGAAGAGTGAAAAATGGTATCCGTTGTAGTGACGGTTTGCTATATTACTTGTACGCTGCAGATGATTCGTAAGAGTGTAGAGACACGTGACTGGATGAACACGATTGAACCTCGGAATGTACGTGCTGTCATGAAACGTATCGTGGAAGATGTGACAGCCATTGATTCACAAGTTGGTCAACTCTACGAGGAAGGAGTGCGCAAAGCTCATAGTTCAGGTGTGGATCGCACAGTTTTGTTTCCTCGTACTTTTTTATGCTTTGACCAATTCTCAATAACCTGGATTGTGTTTTGTCGAAGTCTTAAAACCTCTTCTCACAGAAAGAGCTGTGTTTGTGCAGAGTTTTTACGATGACAAAGTCGATTCAGTTTTCTTGTCGATTTTGAAGCCTACCCTTAAGCACAAAATGGTGTTGTGCTCACACCTTAGTTACCCGTAATGCAACTGTTCACATAATAGCACCATTTTAACTTGTCAGACGCCATTTTGAAACGTGCTGTGAATTGCCTCGGAAATAACCGAATACGTGTGCGCTCAGGGATCCGGTGTCCACTTTAATCCCCGAGTACAAGGTCACGTAGCGCCACCGTTCCCGAAATTTGGTGTGGATACTTCGAAAAAGGCTGTGTTTACATTTGTGCTCAGTGAGTACCGTACTTGGTCACTGTGCCTGATGAATAAACTTCTTAATTAAGACTATAGTGCCACGCGAACGAAGCAGAATTCTAGAAGTAGGTTGTGACAGATCTCGCTCTTTAAACCCCGAGAATGATTTCATCTGTGTGTTTGTGTTTGTGTTTTAGATTCCAGTAAATTCACGTACACATACCCGTCCAAGCCCAGCAGGTCTCAGTGGAGTTACACCGCCAGGTACCGAGTCTTGTTGTTGTTGATGATGTGTTATTGTGGTTGTTATCGTTTTTTACCGCTACAAACTGGTACAAATAGCTTTACTGTTTTTTTTCTCCGTTGCTTCGCCTTTCTATGCAGCAAGTTCATATTTTTAAACAATTCTCTCTTTGTTCTTTTAGTACGGCTTTCGATTCCAGCCTTCTTAGTAACATACAGAAGTTATTCTCCGAAAGAATTGAGATCTTCAGCTCCGTGGAATTCTCTAAAGTATCTGTCTTAACCGGCATAGTCAAAATAGGATTGAAGGTAGAGTGAAGGAAGCTTGGATTGCGAAGGGAAAATTGAGTCTTTAACCAAATTCTTGCGCCTTTCAAGAACAATCAAATGTCATACCACTCAATTTTCTCTATCTGCTGGGGAAAGAGTGACTTAACCGACATACATTCAAAAGTCGTAGTCTTCAAGCTCAAAGTCGTTAATGCTAGACGGAGTGGAGTGAACTAGCCTGGGACCAGGCTCCTTAGTGGGGAAAAAAGGCGAACAATGGGCGCAGAAAAAAAAAATCAGCGAACGAGGGACCAGCGAGAGGAAAAGGTCCTCCTCAATCCCCCGCTAGGTTCTCTCTGGGACCTGGGGCCCGTTTCTCGAATGCCCCGGTAGCTTTACGGGCCCGCAACAAAATATTCAGATCAAAATCTAAAAAAAGCATGGTTCCTAGCTAAGAGACCAGTACAGTTTTTTCTTAATTCCTGATAGTTCTATCATATTATCTGTAAACTATTGAAACCTCGATCTTTAACGTAAACGACAACAGCTTTTCGGGGCCGTTAATTTTCAGAACTTTCGAGATAAAGGTCCCTGGTTCGAGGCTAGGAGTGAACTAACATCTCATTCAGGACGAATGGGCGATACTCATAATGCTCCTTTATCAGGCGCACGAATTAGCCTTAACATTATGAGTCATTTTTGGCCACACGAGTCCTTTGTATCTAGTGCGCTTAACTATTTTGTTTTTAGACTCTAGTAGAGTGCGTCAGACTCCGAACATTTGGTAAATACGGTCTTCAGCAAATTCAAGTGGATACTCACTACCTACAGATGTATTTGTGGAGATTTGTTTCTGATGAGAAGTATGGCTTGTTCTTCAAATTTGTAATATTTATCTAACTTTATTTGGTTGTTTAATTGCCCCTTCAATAACGCCCGTTTCAGGTTCATAGGGAAGCTAACGGCAGCTAATGGTTTACCTTTTTTGGTCTGCTGGTAACCACGATGCAAGAACACGAAGTGGATCAAAGTCACCCACACCCCACAAACAAGGCTTTATGACTTGTTAGCGCGAGTCATTGCTGTTTCACGAAACGTTTTTCATCTAGAAACGCACACATTTTCATTTACGCGAGCTCGAGTATCTCTAAAGAGAAAACAGAGGGTCTGTGAACAGGCTTATAAACAGCGATCTGGTTCGCCTCCTACCGTTGGGATTCTTAACCATATTATGTTCCGTTTGAATTATTGGCTCATTATCCCAGAAAAGCCCCATAAGGGGAGAGGATAATTGAAATTTTCTTTTTCTTCTTTCTGGTAAATTGAACGATTCGCGAAAAGTTCATTATGATTCTGAGTATATTCTTTGTTTGTTTCTTTGTTTTTTTCAGTCTTGTCCATTTTATGCTGGAAGAGGTGGTAAACAGTGCTGTAAACAGGTGCATCTCAACAGAGCTTATGGAGCCCAGTGTAAGTATTACCGAGCCCGATTCCATGACAACAAATCATATTCCTCCCAAATCAGTGATCGCTTCCGGCAATTCTACTTTTCAATAAAATCCTGGAGCTAGAAACCGCAAAAAACTTATTGCCAAGCGAAAACCTAGAAGTACTCCACCTTATCTACAAAAAAATACGGCATTTATTTCAAGTTTGCTGCAGGGAAGTGAATTCGTCAAAAAAGGTATCCTTTTTTTTCTTTCTGCACGCAAACTACAAACCAAGAAGGTGATTTCATGGAGTTTTTTCAGTTTCTAGATCCAGGATGTTATTGAAAAGTAGAATTGTCGGAAGTGATCACTGATTCTCCCGAATCATCTTTGTCACAACAGTCATATAATGGATTGGGAATCAAGTAAAAGAGTCGAGCAAGAAAGCGTCAAGTTTAAGCATTCGCTTCAGACCGAATAGGTCACTTGCACTGAGAGGTTAAGTGACCAATGCTTCCTTTGAACAATGACTTGAAATCTTACACGCGAAATTTGAGAGGAAACGCATTTAAGGGAGATATTTTATGGCACTTTGATTTTTCAACAAAGTAGTATGATTTGCATTGGCCGCGCTAATCGTTTTTTGAAGTCAAAATCATATAACTTTCATCTTCATAAAAATGATGTCACATGACCTCTTAGTGCAGATGGCCTATTCTCCTAGTAAAGATCAGGGGTTTCGTTTCAGGCCGGACGCCGGACGCAACGTCCGGTTGTTTGACATGTAACGTCCGGCAGTTCACACACGAAATAATTATTTTTTTAATTGTGAAAATCGTTTTTTTTTTTTCATTTAGTAACTAAAGAAAGACTTGACCCTTATTTTATTCACTTAGTTATGTAATGCACACGATCGGAAAAAAAAAGAGATGATTCCTGTCAAAATTCCGGTTACCCAATTCCGGTCCAGGGAACGCAGCAAATTGCATTTTAGAGACTCCAATTTTACAGATTTCCCGTAGGAATTCGTGCCTCCGGCACTCAACGTTCGCGCCAGCGGCGCGAACGGTGCACGTCCGCCAGCTGAACCACTGCATCCGGTACTTCCAAATGCTACCGAAAACCCTGAAAGATAGGAATAAGAAAGCGTACCAGCTGACCCTAATATGGAACCAATTGAACTTAACCCTACTCGGGTGGGGGTCGGGATGCCTCGACAGGAAGACTTTGCATGATTTGCATAATCAACACCTGCAGGAACCTATTGAAAGCTCCTGACACCTTTTGTGTTTTTTTACTTTTAAAATAATGGATGACAGGCATCGAAACCCTTAAATATTGTTTTCTCTATGTTTGAAGAACTCTCTAAATTTATTTTTCATAATCCTCTCAGGCGCTGTTTAAATTAAAGGAGGGTAACCCATCTAGGAGGATTATATTATATTATTTTTTCCAAATTCCCTTTTTCATCGTTCTTAAGTATCCTCGAGGACGTTATAACCACATTTTCATCAACTTGTTTTGTTATTCTGTAGGTAATTGAAGTTATCTGTGAACGAGGCTGAAATGCTGGAGAAAGGATAATCGTCTATAGAGGATAAACAAAGATGGAACAACCTAGAGCCATCGTAATGGCCTGTTATGTCCTATGAAACTGTTAGAGAATCATACAAAACGTTGCATTAGAGTAAAGGCCTTTCATTAGGGTTGTCGGAAGGAGATTTCGGCCTGGACGCAACCATAAGCTAGCGCGCGAGCAAGCTCTTTATTTGGAGGCTGTCGAGAAGTCACGCGAAAGCCGCGTGATAGGAAACGCGAGTGTCAGGGGCGGTGAAGAGAGCAAAAAAGAAAATTTATGAGAGATCGTTGCAAGCTCTCCTTTTCCTCCGCCCCTCGCGGCTTCGCGGCTCTTTCGCACGTTCTCTCGCGGCTCGCTCGCGCGTTCTCTCGCGGTTAGCTTACTCGAAGGCTAACACAAGCACGCGAAACTTATGATTTTCTTTTGGTCTATGTTGATGCTTTTGGTTGTGTCCGATGTCTAATCTATGACAACACAACAAGACTTCTTTGACGCTCTTTTCTCAAATCGTCTTTGCCCGCTCAGAATGAGTATCCCCGAACCTTTTTGCTTTCATGTTTGTGTATGTCGCCGCAAACTTGCTTATGATGAAACGCTCTTATGAATTATTCATTCTTGTAGTTGCGTCATACTTCTAAACCAGCCATGTTAGCCTGATGATCTCTGGACGATAATAGAAAGCCGTGTTCGATTCCTAGGAATTGATAGCTCGGCCGCCTCCTTCTTTCCTTGAGACTTTGAGAGTTTTGATAACATTTATGAGCGAAATACGTACTATGCATTCACTCTTGTAACAATCAGCAGAAAAAAAACAACATACTGTTCTTACGAATCTCTGGGAAAATGCTGAGAAAGCTTAAGGGTACTAAAATTATTCAAATATTGTATGAAAGAAAAATAATAAAAGCCCGATTTTCCGTCGACTGTTTTGTACTCGGTTAAGTTAAGCGCCTTGGGACAAATGCGTATACTGTATATACAGCTGCTTCACTGTTGTCAAAGTCAATTTTCGACATTAGAGAGATTAATCATCGCGTTTACGGCAAACGTGAGTTTGTACCAGGTGACCAAGTTTCGCCTTTCCTTGTCGTTTACTGACGAAAATCGGTAGATTCACGCCAATTCTACCCATAACAATTGTTTTAACCTGTTTTTACCAGCCCATTTCTCATTTTGAAAATTTCTCAACTTGAATCTCACGTTTGCCATTTGCCGTAAACGTCATGCTTAATGCATAGCTATATGAGTAAATTTATGGGTAATAGACCTCTTTAGCTTGTATGTTTTGTTTTCCACTACAGGTCATGTGATGATACTCTGGAGAACTGTTTCTTTTAAATTTCGTCTTTTTCACGTGCATATAGCGCATAATTTATGAAAGTTTGTGTAAAATTTCGCCACTAAGAGGAGCTAGACCTTCGTTAGGTTTCAACAAATCATTTTCAAACTAAGCAATTTTACTAATCTTAAGGCGCTCTTTGATTGGAATCGACAGATTTTCCCTAACTTGTCCATGTCAAAAGTTGAAAAAAAACGTGAAAAGGTCTACTAGGCTGAGGCCTCCATCCACTTCACAAGTAATAAGAACCAAGGGAGTAACAATCAAAGGGGCCGCGTAGGTTACGGTTATCTAGTTCATTTTGTTAATAAAGCCAATTACGCGTCCTCATTCGCTATGGAACTTGAAGAATTACTTGTCAGTGGCAACATTACAGCTTCATGTCAAGCAAATATGTCTCCTAAACAAAAAATCAAACGTTACAAACAACAAAAATGAAACTTTGAAAACCGGTTTGGCTCACAAATTTTCCAAGTGTTCCAAAATACCCAAACTGCAAAACGCTTCGATCAAGTTTGTCATCCATGCCTCCTTTTGTATTTTTTTGGGTTCTTTTTTCGTCTTATAATGTTCTGAGCGGTTGTTTTTATGTTTCACTCAGTCTGGTGGCGGTTCCCAATCTTTCAATTTCGATAAATTTCGTGACACACCTCCTCTAATTTTCCTTTGGAAGCCGGCAGCAATTACCTCTTACTTTTCAAGAAAGAAAATAATGTCTTCAAGATTTTGTCCGTGCTAGGGAAAAACGTATTAAGAATTACGGACTAAAAACAAAAAGGAAAACTGGGGATTTCCTTTCACCAAAAATTTATTCAGGGAAAAAGCGTGCTGGCATACGAAAATGGTGTTTTTGTTCACCGCTGTCATATTCAAAATGAATTTAGTCTTTTTCAGAGTTAATGGCCTTCGCTAGCAAAGGTAAATACTCCTGATGAATGTCAGACGCCCTAGGTTACAGTCCTTAAAATTGTCGCAATTAACATGAACGATTGATACCTAAACGTGACAGGAGACACACTCAGCCTTTTATTATAAATAACACACCTATCGGAGATTGTTGTTTCATCTTAATTTACGTGGCCACAAATCAATCACCAGGACGTCGTAGTCTATGCCAAAAATCACTTTTTTTGAATAGTTATAAATGACTTTTCATTTCCCACTTGATTTTCGAGAATTTGCATTATACGCCGGCGTGTCTTTAAAATTGGTGACAACTTGATTTATTGGTTTACACAGAAATATTGCTGGATTTTGCCGAGAAGTAGTATGTCCTAGTAAAATGTCCGCGAAATAAGTTATCTTTCTGATTTATTTGTCAAGTTCTTGTATAGAGTATTTTTCATTTCATTTGTCATTACCAGTTAAGACAAAGTTGACACCTTTTTACCTTCTTTTAAATACAAAAATCTTTTCTTTTTTTCAAAAAGAGAAAGACTTGTTTCTGTTTCAATCCACATTTATTAACTCACTCCTCGATTTAACATATATTATATCTTGGGCAAATAAACTAAAAGAGAAGGCTTTTGTGAACATTGCGGGAAAAAAACAATGGTAAATGTTTAGTCTTTTATAGAATCAACTCATTCTTCGATATTCTCTGTTATAACCTTGAAGAAATGGAAAATACGGAATTAAACCCGTTTTTCTGTCCCCTCTGCGCTGGCGTTCAGAGTCGCTTGAGGTGATGGTACACTGGACGATTCGCAACGACGATTTTAAGCGCAACACAGCGTTGCAATGCTAGAGCGATGTTGTAACCATTCGAAACAATGTCGCAACAATGTTGCAAGGCTGTGTTGCGCTAAAAATTGTCGTTGCGAATCGTCTCGTGTAATTTAAACATCACCTTTAAAGCTCCAGTTTCGGTAACTCGACGGCTATCGCCGAGTTTTTTACAAAGACCCGCGGAAAAATTCTTTTTTGGGCTTTCCTTTTGGTGTTTTTTTGAAAACATCGAGACTTATTCGAACGAACACATTTCAATAACGGTTTTGTTGTCCTGTTCACACACTAAGAGACGGGATACTCTAAACCTGAGTCTATTCAGTACCGAAACGGAGGCACTGCAGGACATTCATCATATCTTCAGATCAAGAACAATCACTGGCCTTAATTAAAAGGCTTCACTTCCCTCGAAATCTCGAATGGTAAGGTTTATAAACTAATAACAACAACAACTTTATTGACTATATCTTCCACATGAAGATTTCAGTACCAAAACAATGACAAATGAAAAAATTAAAATAAAACTTAACTAATGTTAGAGATTACAGTAGAACCTCGATAACTCTAACTATAAATTTCCTCTCCCTTGATCAAAATTACACTGAGATTTACCCCGATACCTCCAGTTCTCCGCTAACTCGAACTGTTCTACGTCTCCCTTCATAGTCAGTTCTCGAGACCTCGATTTACCGGAGTTCTACTGTATAATGTTTGCTCCCCTACTGACTCCGAAAGTAATCCCGCTTTTTGTGATTAAAATAATAGGATCAATCGACAACTGGCAGAGACAGAAAGCTGCTTGAATGTTTTGAGGTTTTCGTCTTTTTTTCTCACTCGCTTTGGTAACATGTCTAAAATAGAATAAACATCAAATTGACTGGGACTTTCCGATGTGTATAATGTATTCTACAGACTACTATCAACGTCTTACTTTAGAAAGCTGGTTTACTAACTTAAAACAAACGCCACTGAATCGTAGCCAATAGTTACCAGCGCCGTAAAAACGACTTATTGACGAGATCAAGCAAAACTAACTACGAGAGAACCACTGAAGAACTGCCAATTTGGCAATTTGACTAAGTAGACGGATCGAAACGCACCAATTACTGATTACAAGTCTTCATAGCTTATAACCCTAACCAGAGAATTAACTGACGTGATACAACTCACTTTGACTCTAAATATGACTACCGCACAGGTTGTCGAAACGTCAGTCACTGTCAACAACAACATTCCCATTAAGGACTACGTTCACTCAGACGACCAAACTCAACCTACTTTTGAAATGACTCCTGGGTTCAAACCTTTCGGCACAGTTTATAGAATGAACCCAAGGCCAAGAAACGTTCGCTTTAAAAATTAATTTGAGTTCCTTTTAGACCTTTTAATTAGCAGTCATTTTTGCAGTTTTAAATGCCTAACATGACTGAATTGTCTATAAAAAGCACACTTCTAAGTTCAGTTAACGAGTGAAAAACGTATTCCTGATTCGCGGGACATTGTATTAAATGGCGGCATCGTTCTTTTAAGTTCTTGTTTTTAAGATCAGGAAAACAAGAAAAAATGTTACTGATGACGTGGTCGGCTCTACCAACCTACTGCTCCACTCTGCCACTCTATTTTTAATAAGGAATAAGGTCGGCATGTTTTTCAATCAATTTATTAGTTTTCCTTTCAGTTTGAGGTATTCATTAACATTTCTGTTTTATTTCACATCGAGAAATTTGTAAACATTCGCATTCAATCCCCTGGGTCCTTTGCTTCGAATTAATAGATACATTGTGATATTTCCAATTAACCGCCGTTTAAATGACTTTCAACCTTTCTTGCAAATTTACTCATAACGCGTCCTAGTCATTCCCATTAACTATAAGGCTTTAAAGTGGGTATTAACGTCAATTTCGAAATTGGTTTTTAATTTGAATTTCTCTGAAGCAGTCTTCGAAATATAAAAAAAGAAGGCCAAGTTTATCTTCCTCTCCAAACAAAAAAAAAAGCGAAAGGGCACGAAGTTTAAACGTTTTAAAATATCAAAGTTAATACATCGAGTACATTTCCGCTCCTAAATGCTTTTTTCAACTGTTTTCTGAAGAAATAATCAGCAAATGAATCCGATTAATCTCCTATGCAGAATGCAAATTGTGGCATATCCCCCGTGAAGCCTTCTCTGTACCAACATAACAAAGATTTCCGCAGCTGCATTTTCCAAAAATGAATTTTTTTGCACCTGCACGTTCATTATATTACTTGGTGAGACCTAACGCCATCCAATTATCAAAGCATGTTCAAACATTATCTAATTGAACCTGCTTTTTTTTAAGCTTATTTCCGCTTCTTTTCTAATCGTGTCAAAGAGTGCAAGAAAACAAATCGTGGGTTAATCCGACCCTTACACCAGCACCGACACACCATGAATGTCTCGCAACGAGAAACGCACCATACAGACCGAACGGACATAATATTGACAGTTCTGTACGGGATCGTTATTTTGAGCGGCATCGTAGGGAACTCGCTGGTGATCGCAGTTGTATGGAGAACAAGATCAATGCACACGGCTACGAATTACCTCCTTGTTAACTTGGCAGCAAGTGATATTTTCGTGTTGTTATGGTGCCCGAACACGTACAATTACGCTGTGACTTTACCCGATAATAAACTTGGCAATTATTTATGCAGGTTTTTCCTCGGGGATGCAGTGGATACTCTCTGTCTTGGAGTTACATTGTTTACGCTCACTGTTCTCGCGGCTGAACGCTATCAGGCTCTTGTCACGCCGATGAGAACGAAATACACTCTCAACAAACAAAGTGTGAGCTATACCATCGCAGCCACATGGATACTCTCACTTGCGATTAGCATTCCAGATTTCATTTTCACTCACATCGACACAACAAACGGAAAGTGCGTCTCGCCATTTAGCCCAGAAGCTAACGATGTCAAAGCTACGTACGTTGCTTTAGCAATTAGTTTATACATCCTTTTACCGCTTGTAGTGATAACTTTCTGTTACGTTCAAATTTTACGAGGTATGTTCATCACGCACACAATTTGTGCAGGCCCTACGAATAGAAATTCCGAAAAAAGGAAACTCGCCGTTCTGTTAATAGCAGTAACTGTGGTATTTTATCTACTTTTCCTACCATTTGCAATATTTATGTTGCATGTAGCTTTTTCAAAACAGTCTGGAGGGCACAATTCAAGCGATGAAGAAGTAATAGTGCTTAAAATCTTGACTTTTCTCATAGTGACAAATAGTTCTCTAAATCCAGTACTTTATGCCTTTCAAAGTGGAAATTATCGGAGGGGCTTTAGAACTTTATTTTCTCGAGGTAATGCCGTCGCACCTCTAGAGAACAGTGCTACTTCAGCGGCCTATATAGACCTTCAACGAATTCAACGCATCACTGTTGTAAATAGCTAACACTTGATTTTCTCTCCTTTTTTTACTTTGAAATTAAAAATAATATCATTTAGGACAATGGCATATTGTGAGGGGTCGTGCCGCCTTACCAAAGAAAACTTTCGAGTAAGTTTTCTTTTGCCATTTTTCCTTTTGTTCACCAGCAAGTGTTTGAAACCTGAAAAAATATGTATGAAATGCAAGTGGTAGTATTATCTAAAAAACAACCCACAATCTACAAGGTCCTCACAAGATGAACACTACAGAAAAGATTGGAGTCACCTTGTGACAGTTTTACAGTCAGAAAGTGTGTTTCCAAACCATGGCTAAATTGAAAGAAAGCTGATGTATGCAATGTACTTGTTTTCAGTCCAAAATAAAGAAACCCAAAACGACAAAACAGCCACGATTAATTCTCTTGTAGGCTGATCAGTCATGAATGATTAATTATACCTGTTTGCAGAATTAGACCGAATCGCTTTTATATGAGTTCGACCTTCGCAATGGTAATAAACAACTCCCGGTGGCAGATTTTAGTTTTGTTGTTACGTACAAAAGGAAGTTAAAACACAGTTTTATTTTGTTGCTCAACGAATGAGATGGATTAGGATGGAGAAGGATGTTCGTGCTTACATCATATTTTGACGATCCTTTCCACTGACCGCTGATGCTTGGTTTGAAATAGCAATGAAATTTGCAATGTTTTTTCTGCCAATTTTGTCTCTAAAATTACAATGTGTTACAGTGTAATCTTTCCGTCTTCAATTGCGGCGACGAAAATCCGGTATTTGAGTGACATGAGCCTTCGGCACAGTTAAAAAAACATAAGAAAAACAAGTGTTGTTTTTGATAATCCTAAATGGTGCCAAATCTTCAAATCTCCAGTGAACGCAGAATTCTGCTTCAAATTTACACTTCTTAAAATTTGCACTGTCTTAAAATACTTGCAGGGAAGATTTTCTCACGCTTAGCGTTACTGGAAAGCTACTGAAAATACCACTAGGTTAAACCATTTCACAGTCTTGTAACAAGAAGAAGCCCTTTGAGAGCAGTGCAACATATGTTGTAGCTAGGGAAAAAGTTCTCGTTGAGGCGGTAGTCAGCGTTTTTAAAAATTCTCATTAAATTTCTTATCAAAGCGGGTGTGCTAACTAAGATTAACTTATTATACCGCAACCTGCTACGCATTTGTAATGATTTCGACAACAACACGCAATCGTCAATGACTACCAAGCTCTCACTTCAACAGTAACAGAGGTCAAGCGATTTGTAATTAAGCTGCAAAAGTGATAAAACCTTGTCCAGTGTTCGACTCGAGGAGAAAGTACACTTTCCTTATCTAAAATCTTTTGCGTGCATATGATTTGGTACGCACACAAGATCGGAAGCGAACATCCAAAAACTAGATTATCTTGACAAAAGACGTTTGTTAAGCTGTTGTTTTTACGCCCTAAATATCGCAAACTTTGGCAGTATCGGTTTTTAGGGACGGGCCATTAGAAAAGTAGTGGGGCAGGGTGGGAGGCGATGTACAAAACAAAAATACTTTGTGCAAGGGAAAATTGGGTTGAAGCCCGTTAAAAAATTCCTGCATTGGCCTAAAAAAATAATTCATCAATGCAAGCGAAATATCAACGGAAAAAATTCATTCACTTCTTATACCTTTTGTAATGGTTTCAGGTCCCTCACACGAAACTGATCTTTTTTTCCTCGTTTAAAACCATACTGGCATCCTTAAAAATTGTACGACAAGACTTCATATTATTCTTTTTCATCGCAGGAAATTAACGAGGGAGAAAGAAATTTTTTGTTGATCGCAGCAAGGTCCAATAAATTCAACCTCAGTGAGGGGTGTATAATTAAAAAAGAAAATGGCATTCATTTAGAAGTTCACTTTACGATTACGTCCGTAAACAGGGACTTTGCAAAACTTTGCCGGGCGCGCTGTGTGTAGTAAAATAAACCGATTATGTTTTAAAAACAAAAGTATATTATCTTCTTGTACGTGACACGGAGAAATTCGTCAGTTAAAACTATGTACCAAGAAAATGCCGAAAAGGCCTTTGAAACACGGCTTCGTCCCAGAAACTGGACTCCTTTCGACTCGATTTCTTTTCCGTGGGTGACGAACGCGGATCCGTAATCAATGATTACCGCTAGTAATAGTTATTTTTTCGACACAGTTCTTCTGTCAATAAATCGAAAGAAAGAACGTGTTTTGTGGACGTTTATGACTGAAAGGGCGGACTGCAAGTGAACTACAAAAAGAGCACCTAAAGGACGGTTAGATCCCCGCCTCCATCACATTCAGATCATTGGATGACGCCGGGACAACAGGATCAGTTCGAAAAATGAAATTCGGGTAATTCTGAAAGAAGAATAGTAAGGGCAAAACACTGGACTCCAGTTAATACGGACCCCGTGGGTACATGACATAGTGTCCTTGTTGTCCTGGTGTTCGTATATAAAGTGGGCTCTTAGAAACTGAAAAAACGTCACGGACTCATGATTAATTGACATTACGACTCGCGTACGGGGCAAACACAGGAAGAAACCTGAAGAAAGACGGACTTTAAACATGTTACGCTATTTTGCCACTATTTTGTAGTAATAAAATGGTATTAACTCACAGAAATCTGTCATCAATTTCACCGTCTACAATAGGGCCGTTAAAACAAGGAAAACTAAGACTTGTCTTACATATGACCCGGGGGGTACTCGCAGAAAAATTGGGTAGGGGTGTGCGGCCCGCTTCCCAAAACCCTTACCCTATTTATGACCAAAATCTGCGATTTTCCCTACCCTATTTATGACCTAACCAAAAATTTGATACCCTATTTATGACCTGACCCTTAAATCAATACCCTGTTTCAGACCTGCCTTATAATTATTTCCCTAGTTCAGACCAATGTTAAAGGCAATGTTTATCTGCTTTTATTAGGTTAGGGGGACATGATAAGGAAATAGCTTCTTCTAAAAAAGTGCATTCAACACTACAGTGCAAAAATCGTTACCCTATCTATGACCAAAATGGCGGCAAAATAGCCAAAATCGATACCTAATTTATGACCAAAACGGCTGAAAAACCCTACCCTTTGAGGCCGCACATACCTATATAGCCCATATTAGGGAGTACCCCCCCCGGGCATATGACGCGGCCTAAATAAGAGTCAAACTGTCCCATATAAACGGAAGATTTCGCTAAGACGCGTTTTATCTAAGAACAGCCCCTAACACCTGTTCTTTGATAGTTTGCGTCTTATTTAGGTCGCGTCTAATGAAAGACGCGTCTTGTTTTTCCTCGCATAAATGGCCCTATAAAGTACATAATTTTGACAAGGAAAATAGATACTACACAGGCAAACAGTGGTCTCCGTGAAGCGGGGTTGACGATACATCAGAGTTTGTGATTCAGAACACAGAGAAGTGTCCGTTTTCCGTATCAAAGGGTTTCTGTATAAAGCGGGTTAATTTTAGAGAAAATGTATCAGCTTTCCGTCGGGACAAAAGAAACTGTCCGTTAAAGCGGATGTCTTAGAGTAGGTTTCCACTGTAAATGTTCAAAAGGCCTTTAATATACAAAGAGGAAGACAAAATGCCAAGCAAAATGTCGCTAAAAATCCACAACGTCCCTAAATTACAAACAAAATTACCAAAAAAAGACAACTATGCGCGCTGACTTGTCGTTCTTTGATATAAACTTTTGACAAAAGCATGTATGGAATCAAGAGGGAATGAGCTATTGATGGATGTCTTTTTCGCAAAATCATGTGAAAACAGCGACTGAAATCAAGAGATCATCATTGGACAATATTACATTATCTTATTGAAATATATAAATGGCCTCGATTATTTACGGATATAGTAGTCTGTTCCAGGCTTCAAGTCTCCAAGATACCAGAAGATAGTTGGGACGACGGATAGAAAAAAAAAGCGCGAAAAACGGCGTGAGGAATAGGTATCCGTTTTTTGCTCTCTCCTTTTATTGCTGCTCGCGTACTTTTTTCGCTTCTTACTCGCTTTTTTCGCTGGTCCACACTGACCGAGAGCCTGGCACAAGCTACGGATGCGCGATAGAGGTTTTTACGTATCGAGGCACGTATGGGCTAGGTTTTGGAGACCTGTGGTCTTGTTGCCATCAAGACAACCAGTTTTTAAGATCAAGTTTCTTGGATTAAAATGTCATGTTCAAATTCAATCAAAAGAAATTTAAATATACTTGGCGTATAGCCTCCCACGCAGATGTCCCTAGGACTTCGTCAAGTGTTCTGGCCTTTCCTCCTTGGGGAGAATTGCATGACGAGCCAAAAGAACGTTTGCGTGGGAGGCTAACTTGGTGCTTGGTGTACTACCGTAGCCATTCTAAGGCATCTCTTATATAGTAAAACCTGCACGTGCGACCACCTCCTTTAGGCAACCACCTATCATAAACACTTGTGAAGGCAAAGCCACAACGACAAACCAGTGAAGGTCAGCCAGATCTTTAGTAGAAATAGATCAGTAAAATCTTGAATAACCAAGTTAGAACAGTAAACTGACCCTTACAGCAGGAAGAGTGATAGGAAAAACAAAGAAAGAAAACAAAAATAATAATAATAATAATAATAATATAATTCACCATTTTATTTTTGTCTTCTTTCTTTACTTTTCCTATCACTCTTCCCGCTGTAAAGATCAGTTTACTATTCTAATTTTAAATCACCTATAAAAACACGACAGTCCATGCCTTACAGCTTGAACTTCTAGTAAATGACCACCACTCCTATTAAAAGTGACCACGACCAGTTTTTTGGATCACAGCTTTAGCATTTCAATTGTTTTTATCTTCCTGTAAGCGACCAGTTAAAGCATGGTTTGATCACTATGCTTGTTGTATGTACCACACTACTAAGAGAATGCAATGCGCTTTTAATGAAAACATACAACTACACATATCCTAACTTAGAAATTGCATGCGATGAACTCTTCAAACATGTAGATGTGTCAGACCTCTTCTAGAAAGGGACCTCCTGTAGTTCAATTCTCTTAAGCGACTGCCTCCCATATAATAAGCAACCACTAGATCTTCACATTTTGGGTGGTTGCTTATAAGGGGTTTGACTATAATTCAAAAGTCTAGTTTTTCTCCAGTCCCTTGAAGGCCCACCTTCCATCCTGAAGTCCTGCACAGACAATGACCTGCACTTAACACTAGTCCTTAGAACTAGGATGTAATTTTGCAGTTTTTTTTACACCACGATTAACTACATCATGGGCTTCACTTGGTGACATTTGATTAACATCCTGCTCACTGTAACCTAAAGTGGAAAGTGATTTTTTCATCTGTCTGGTAATCTGCAAAAAGAGAACAAAAAAAATTTGCAAACATTTATAATGCTTAGCACCGCCATTCTCTAAGGCAGCTATAATCAACCTCATCTGTTGTTGATGAGTTTAACAGTATTTTCAAACTGTTGTTATATCTTTTCCTTACGCATTTAAGGGCTCAAAGAGCCTGTTACAAGTTAAAAGGAGATTTGAGCCCTGTAATGCTTAAGGAAATATTTCAGACAGTTTGAAAATTTCGAAATTTACAAGGATTTGTATAGAAAACCATTCAAGCATAACTGGGTGGCAAAAGTTGTTCTTCTCATACTGTTCTTCTCAAACTATTTTCGTGTTTACTGAATGTTGATCACGTAATCAACTAATGCAAAAGGCCTTTTTGGTGAAAAAGCGAAACTAAGACGCAGTAAGCGTTGATACTGGAGTTCTTGTCCCCTGTGTGCTCTCCATCAAGTCAATGACCTATGACAGAAGGCACCTTTTTGCAGGATATTAGCTACAAGCGGTGTGAATTTCTCCATATTGTGTTGTGACATGCAGTTTAATCCTGGGTCTTCGCAGGTGCTAAAGTAAATTAGTTTTAATTATTATCATCATCTTCGTCATCATCATCATCACTGAAGTGTAACTTACAAATGTTGATATAACATGTTTAAAACAATGGTTTCCAAAAAATTACAGGTTATTTGAAAATCAAGATTATGAAATAGCTGACCATAAATGGTATTTGTCTTGTTCGCTGTGGTCTACCATAAAGAAAGGAATCTAAAGCTTTCTGGAAGTTGTATCTGAAAAAATAAAATACAATAAAATCATATTATTAGGAGTTGTTATGCACAAGAAAAGCACATGATAAGATAATAAGATCAGTGAGAAGACACAGCATCTCCAGAACTGTTTTCCACTCCCCCTGAAGATCAAGGAATCTCTGACAATAAGGTCTTTAATCAACAGACTGATATATTTTTTGGGGGAGTGAGAGTTAATTCCAAAAAATTATTGTGATATGAGTTTCCAAATAAGCCAGAAGCAACTTACTTCCAAAGATTTCCATTGTAAACGAAAAGTAGTCCCAGATTTCTCGATCTCGTAATAAATATTTTATACCATCTTTTCCAAAGAGTCTTTTTAAACATTTCCCTAGCTATTCTTCTGTGCCCAGATCTTCTCGACGTTTCTAGCAGGCGCGGCACACAACTAGTAGTACCCAGTTTCTCTCTTTACACATCGGCGCGCCATTTTGGATTTTGCGAGGGAACACTGCTTTCATTTTGATAGAGCAGTCTTCTTCTGTGGACTTATGCGTGGAAATGCGTCATTGTCATAGAGTTCTCGTCGTTATTCTGTTTCAAGCGGTGATATTTTGAGAGGATGAGTCGAAATCGTGAGGGTCAATGGATCCAGGGTAATTACATCCGTCCTGGAGGAGCACAGAGAAGCCGAGTTGAAATCAGTGACGATGAAGACGATGAAGTGACAGAAATAAAACAGGTTAGGCTAAAAATAAATGAGTGGTAAATATAAAGTTACATTTGTTAAATATATGTTGAGCAGTTGATCAGAAAAGAACCTGAAAAGAATCAGGCGTGATCATGCATGTCCAAGTGTGCAATTTTTCGATTCAGGTTCCTTCTAAGTTTTAGTGAAATTGAATGACTGACTGCCAGGATCATATTTTTCATTTGCTTGATACATTGCCGACGATTACTATGTTTGATTTATTTCTTATATGGGTATCCAGTTGACATAGAAATATCGCAACTTCTTTTTATGAGGTCATACCTGAGCGAACACCAGGAATTCTAATCCTTCGCTTAACCTTTGGATAATGATTTGCACATAACATTAAAATGGCTTCTGGTATGGTCTTTCACAGAGCTGGAAAGAAAGGGCAAATCTTGTCCAGTGCAATTACACGTTACCAGCCCAGACGTACTGTATTTCATATAACAAACAAAATGTAAAGGCAAATAAGTTTATTTTGGGACAGCTTTGTGAGAACCAACCCTGCAAAGCTGATATGTAAATACAGCAATAGATAAATAACTATTGTACAACACTCGTAATCTAGCTTTCACAAACAGAAAAAACTGCTACAACTGGTCGATCTCGACCTGTATTCCCAATTAAGCACACAGGCTTAGTGCCAGTTAGGCTGCCAGTTAGGCTGGGGAAATATAAAACTCTGACCAATGAATAACCAGGACACAGAACACTATAGGAGCACAGAGGTAAAGCACGGAAAAAACTGGGAATTATCTTCACTAATATACTGGCAAATTGCCAGTTAGGCTGCCAGAAAAGGCTAGAGTACAACATTTAGGGTAAACAGATGGCTAACGACCCTGGCTACAGGTTTGTAACATTGCCAATCTAACTGAATCAAACTAGACTCATATTGCCACGTAAAGAGCAGCTGTGGGACAGCTGACCTAAGCATACCGTATTTCCTCGGTCAGCACTCGTTAACATTCGTCAAAACGCCCTTTCTCCCCTTATGATTTTTACACAAGGTAGAACTGTTTTCTGCTTTTATATCACACTTAGATGATATTTCAAGCTGGAAATCATTTATGAAAGTGAAAGTCTCTTCAAATTAAAAGAAAAAAAATTGATGTGTAGGGCAAGAGGATTTGAACCGATGACCTAAATTGCCACTACACCACACTTAACATCCACTAACCACTAGACCACTGAGGATTTGTTGGATGATAAGGAAATAATATTAAAGTACACATAGCATCAACCCCAACCCAACAAAAGAACCTAACCACTTTCGAAACAGTGCTTAACCCTAATCAGTAAAGGAAGTGCTTAACCCTAATCAGTAAAGCCAGTGCTTAACCCTAATTAGTAAAGCCAGTGCTTAACCACAGTGCTTAACTGGCTAATCCAAAACGATAAGGAATACTACATTGTGTAAACTTCATAAGGTGTCCAAGGGCCTTTCGACAGATGTTAAAAAGTGCTGACCAAAAGGAAAAGCCTACATTATTATATGACTATGATTGTTGTTGTTATAATCTAGCAAAGTTCCAGTGATACTGGATGTAGTGATAGGACATCTAGATTCAGAATGAGGAGACAGAAAAGGGAAGCTGCTCCAGAAGTGAAGTTTTCTGGTAAGTCAGCCATACATCATCAACATTTAAATTATTAATAAATTTTTTACAGGTTTCAACCAGATTAGGTTTTTGAAAACTATCAAGAAAAAATTTAATTAAAATGTATTTGCTGCAATGTTATTGAATGCAGGTGATGAAGAAATCAATGAAGAGTGGGAGCAGTTACAGGTAAGCATTAAGGGTATGTTATTGTGTTTCCAGTTCTTCTTTGTTATTATAATTGCGAAATTAATAAGAAATGGTAATCTGGGTTGGCAAATACATTACATTTGGCCTAGTCTATGCCACAAATTTGCTCTTGACTCCAAAGAATTCGTACCGCAAGCTATTCTGACTCCAGCTTTTAGCCCAAAAATGCTCAGTAGAATTTCATCTACATGTACAAGGTGAGATGCAGTCTGCAATGGATGCAAGTTACCCTTCAGGCTGGTACTTGTCCTACAGTTAGCTTCCATAGCATGAAGTGAGTAGGAATATTTCTACCAGGATCCATAATCTTGGTCATTCAACTTAAACTGCAATGATCTTTTTATTTCATAACATATGAAACTCAGCTATTTATCATTCCTTCTTCACTTTTCCCGGGTATATTATGACACAATTTAATGACCAGCTCCCAGGTGGCTTGCCAGTTCCGTCGGTTAAAGTGCCTCAGCAGTCTCGTAGAGGTCAGGATTCAAATCCCGGCAAGCCTGCATTTTTTCAGGCTTTTTTTTCTGATGATCTTCTTTGCATTTATACTTGTTATAGTTATGGAGTACAAGTAACCATGTACTTTTGTTTTAACAGCAAGTGATAAAGCTAAGCAAGCTTGAGGCAGAAAAACAGGAGGAGAGAAGGAAAATGTGTGGCACTTTGCAAGATGTGGTAAATGGTTTTTGTTTGCTTTCTATATGTTGATGTCTAGAACTTTTTACTTCACTCTGGATCTGTCTTGGGAGATGCATTTCTTGGTCGCTAGTGTCAAACAACCTCTCCCCATCTCCCCACGGCATGCTGCCCCTCCATGGCTAGGAGGCCATGTAGGGACCAAGAAGCCTGTCACTGAAAGAAATGTCTCATGAAAGGTGTTTTCTCATTTCTGTTCTGAACGTCATCTGCAAAACTTAATGATGCTGTTCTTTGCGGTAATGTCATAACCTGTTGTAATAAGTGACTTGCATTTTGAATGCTTTGTTTGTCGATCAAGAGTCCAAAAATCTTGACCATGTTGGTGTCTCCTAGTTTACTCCTATAGGTATTCGTCTAAATGTATACCGGTATATATGTTGTGGTCAAAAGTTAATTCAGGTTGAATTCTTTTAAGCTATAGGTTGATTCTCAATTTCGTTTGTCTTCTAGCCCTAATTCAAGAATTAGTAGGGTTAGGAGACAAAGGGAATTGAGAATCAACCTAGGTTAAAACATTTAACCTTAATTTAATTTTGACCTGTAACATAATTATGTAGTATGCTCCTAAAAATTATTTGAGGGTGGTATGCCTAATACTTCTCCTTTCAATTTGCCTTTTATATGCTTTTATGTTGAAAAGAGAGTGTCATAAATAGATACAGTCACTTGGGCCCCATTCTATGCAGCTCTTCAGTTGATTCATGTTACAGAACCATGTGGTAATATAAGAATCCTGTGACTCATGCACCGCTTTGATTTGGTTTGTAGATGAATCTTCAAGTAGAAATTGAACCACTGAACTCAAGTAGTTTGAAGAACCAAAACAAAAGAAACAAAACAGGTTCGTAGAGTTATGTTATGTCAATAAACATGTTGCTTCAGCAGTACATACTCTTTGGTACAAGAAGCTTTCATTTCAGCATGGCCCAGTAGAAACGTAATGAAAGTTGTAGTGGAACAAAATGAGAAATAATAATCTTGCCTGCTTTGTTTTAGCTGTAGGTAATGAGAGAGATCAGCGAGAAGACTCAGCATCTCCAGAACTGTTTTCCACTCCCCCTGAAGATCAAGGAATCTCTGACAATAAGGTCTTTAATCAACAGACTGATATTTTTTTTCGGAATTAATTCTCACCCCACAAAAGATATACTGTGCAACTTTTTGTTGTGCCATAACTGGGTTGAGCATGATCATCTTGGTGAAGGTGGTCCTGACGTTTTGACAGTGCAGTAGTCATCTTCACAGTCAAAGTCTGTTGTATCACGTCAGTTGATGGTATTTAACTCTAGTTATTGACATGATTGGCCAATTAAGTCGTGATGTTATTGGTGATCTGTCAGTTAATTCATGATGTTATTGGCTATGAACACTCGAAATGTCATTGGTGCATTTCAATCCAACTATCGTTACAGTTTAACGTACTTATAAATGACTTCTGGGATCAAACCTTTCACAGTTTTTTGTTGTGTCTTACATTGTAGGTTGAAGAAAAGGTTGATAGTGATGCAGAGTTTCCTGATAGTCCTTCATTACCGGTGAACATGAGATCACCTGATGCTGGAAATTCATATGACAGACAAAGGAAAGAACAGCTTTCTTCAACTGCACAACCATCACAGTAAGGTTTGGGGCCGACGTAAGAACAAATGATGATGAACCTTATTCATGATACCCGCCATCTTTACACACGTTTTAGGATCAATGGGATAAAAGCAATGTTGCGTAGCATTTCAGAGGGAAAACAAGTGATAAAATTTGCCAATACAAGCAACTGCGGTCGTATTTGTTTATTCTATCAAAATACAGTTGACTCCCGATAATTCGAACCTTCAAGGGAAATAGCAAAAAGTTTGAGTTATCAGGAGTTCGAGTTATCGAGGGTAAAGTTATATAGAAAATGATCTGAAGGGAAATGAAAACTGCTTCGAATTAACGGAAGGTTCGAGTTATAGGGGGTTCGAGTTACCGGGAGTCGACTGAAAGACAAATGAATTAATAATTAATTCATATGTCTTATGTGACAATTATTGTCTTGCAAAAAGTACCGTTCAAGTTTGAACAAAAAATTTGCTACATTTTGTTCGCTTTGACAACATCTATGGTGGCTACTGCATCCAAAGCAGTAACAATGATCCTTTTCACCCATAATTATCATCTTTAAGATGAAATGTTCTTGATTTTCTCTTTTCTAGAATAATACCCTCGATTTCTTTCAATTGTGGCAAATCTTTTCACTTCCTTTTTTCACACACTTCTCCCGAATTTGCACTAATGTCTTTATGGTTGACAAAGCAACATCTTGCAACTCCCAGGAAATGAAAAACCACTGTGATGAAAGATTGTTTTTATAAAAGGTCTTGGTCTGGTCGTATCTTTCCCTCCCTTTTATTTTTCATCACAAATGTCAATAATGTGCCGCATTGATCAATCATATCTAAAATCTAAAGGTTCATTAGAAGTGAATAAACCAAATGTCCCGTCATGAAAGGATTCAATAGGACAAAGCCTATTATTGACCAGACTTTGTTGGTTGACCAGCCGTTATTTCAAGCCCTGACTATATTCTAACAAGAGGGTTGGAATAAATCAGTGTATAGGATCTTATTTAAAGACCCTTTGTCACTTTCCATGAATTATGAATCTCATCTTAAAGTGAGGGCCCTTGGCTTGACTATTACTTAACTATACTCAGTATATATCTCTAGTTAACTACTCAAAACCTTATTTCCAATTGCAGGCAGGAAAAGGACACCAAAAGAAAGTTCAAGTTGAGAAGAACCAGACAGGAAGAATCTAGTGTGGTAAATAAGAGAGAGAAAATTGGTGGAGATGATGAGGAAGAGGATGATGATGATGATGATGATGATGCAAAAGTGACTGTGTTAGAAAATGACAAGGAGAAACCTCAAAGTGAAAATTTGGAGGTTGACAAAAACGTTTTACATGGAGAGAAGCGCACACTGCAATCAGTTATAAATGATGATGATGATGATGTAACAGATGATGAAGACCCTATTCTTTGTTTAAGAAAGAGAATCTCTCTGAAGCGTCAGAAATTAACACAATTTTTGGAGGATAGTGACTCTGAGGATGTGAAAGATGTGGCCAAGAGAGGTTCAAAAAGAACCTCTGATAAACTGAGTGATCCAATACCCAAGAGGGTTGCTGTTGGTGATTTTGATAAGGAGAAAACAAGGAAGGACGAGAGTATTTCTTCAAAGGAAAAACAGAACTCTTCACTTTCCAGTGCACAGCCTCCCAGTGTTCGCTTTTCAAGAGAGTACAAGAAACCAAATTATAGACCTACAACTGTGAAAGAAATCATGAAGGCAGAGGTTTATATTGCGCCTCCAGGATTTAACATTCCATCATACACTAAGCTAATAATCAGAATGTTAGATAGGTACAGGAAACGATTGCAAATTGCACAATCCAAGGTTAAAGTTCGTCTCCCCTGGGGACACCCTGTAGTAGCTGGTAGTAACTCTAAAACTTTAGAACTGAGAATGCCTGGAAAAGCTTCTGTTTTTTCTTTTCTCAGAGGAATACCACAAGATGGTAAGTTTCCTTTTACTACAATTCATACACAATGGCTGTCAACTATTTACATGAGCAAACATGTCGGTTCACAGTTTGGGTCAATGGTAAGCAAAATTCAGGACTGGTAAATATCGTCCCAGAATTGCGTTTACCATGTGTAAAAATCAGTTCCATTTACTGAAAAACGGTTGTGAAGACCTACATACAAACTGGTATCAAAGATGGCCTTAGAAGAAATGGAACGTGAATTTCCGTTGGAAACATTCTGTCTGGAGAAACAGTACTTCCTTATCTGTTGCTCCTGGAAATTTCGAATGGAATGAGCCAAAGAGTTGTGTTTCATCATTTTACTTTCCAACTGGTTTTTTCCCCCCTCCCCCACCCACTCCCAACAGGATTTTGAGCAATTAAAGCCTCTTGGTAAACAATTTGAAAATAATATTAATTTGCCAACAACTTTTTCTTCTAAATTGTAAGCCAATGGTTGTCAAGTCAAGATATTAAAGCTCCAAAAACTGGATGCCCTCCTGCCTGATGCACGGGCTGAAGGTGATACTGTTGTGGACTAGAATCCTCTATACAGGGAATTAGCAATACTCCTGGTGCTTCATGCTAGTGAAACCTGGATTATTTCCAGCCATCTCTTAGCTGGAGATGCCATATTACACCTTTAACTTTACCATTATTAAGTTAGTAAAGCCGGAGCCATCACACTAACTGTTAAAAAATATATATATACATACATATTATTGACTTGTCTAGTTTGGATTGTTGTTCATAAAAGTAGTCGCTTTCTCCTTGAACACAGTTAGCAATGGAGATTACACTACCTCGGCTGGGAGCTGATGACTAAGACTTACTTGGTGATGTATCCAAGGTGCGCTTAGATCACCTGACCCAAACGTTTTGGCCGCGTGGAATAATGAGGCCTAGGGACTGGGTGTGAAAGGGTTAACTTTCCATGCTTTGAATAAAAATGTAATCTTTAAGATTTGTGACAAAGACACATCTAATTTTTTCTTTTCATTTTCTGCAGCAACTGGCACAAGTGTTAAAAATAACTCAGATTCAGATGTTTCCTATAAGAGAAGAACTTTGAGAAGTTCTGCAAAACTGACTACTCAAGCAGCTACCAGTACATCGACTAGCACAACCACACATGAAACATCCTATAAAGTAGACAGTGATAGTGACGGTGATGAATTCCTGAAAGCTTATTTGGATGATGTGCGACCAAAACCTTCTGTTATTAGGTCAAGTAAGAAAGCCAGTCATGCGACAAAAAATGACAGTAGTTCTGCTAGTGTGTCTGCAGATCAACAAAATTTACGACCTAAAGATGATGAAAGATCGTATGTTAAAAAGGAAGTGTCAAGTAAGTCTAACATGGGACTTACAAATGATGGCAAAACAACAAAATCGCATGCTCCAATTAAAACTGGAGATACCAACATATCTCTGCAAAATGGTAATTCAGATGTCTTATTTGGCACTGGTGTTATTTTGGATGCTAATGCAAGTGAACTACAGTCCAATACATTTGGTGCCTCAGTTAAATCACCTGGGAAAGATAATAATGCAAAAAAAGATTTCAAAACAAGTGAAAGTAAAGTCAAAGATAAAAAGGAAGGAACAAAAGAGTTAAATCAGCCGGACAATCAGACAAACAAAGGTGATGCAATCTCCATGGAAGTTGATGAAAACCAAGCAGACAACATTCAGCCTTCAAAACGCAGAAGTATCCTGCGTCCTTTAGATGATGATTCAACTGATGATGAAAGAGACATGTCTCAGCCAATTGTTTCGCTTCATCGTACAAAAGGAGACACTTCAGTTGATGTTGATGGTTCTTCATCAAAGGAAGAAAAGGGCAGTAAATTAGGAGAGTCTGTTGTAGATGCTGACAATGTTGCCCTACTAGACTCTCAATCGATACTGACACAAAGTGGATCTCAAGAGAACCTTGGAAAAAGTGTTCTTGACACCTTAACCACTGAAAATCAAGGTGTTTTGGAGCCAGAGTTACTCTCCAATAACAGTTCGACAGAAGGGTTTACATCAACCACAAAAAGGACAGTTAAGAGGGAAGGTGACAGTCTCATCATTGATTTGGACAGTGAAGATAGCCAGAATGCACAACAAAAACGTTCTGAGGCAGCAGATAAAGCAGCTGCAGCAGCAGAAAGAAGACAGCGGCTGTTGACCAGAGGACAACCACCAAGAGATGCCCTGTCATCAAGGTCATTATTGAGCATTGTTATTGGTTGATGTTTAGACAAATTGTTTGTCTGTGATAGTTCTCTAATCACTGTTATTATTCATTCAAAATATTTTGTCATTTCTGATTGGCTCCAATCCCCCCACTTAATTCTTTATAACCAGCTGGTGCTCACTATATTTGGAAATTTAAGGCAATAACCCATTGATTCAATGGTATGGACTAGAAGTTGCTGCATCCCCACGGGTTATAAGTTAGAAGTCTGTATGAGGGGGTTGGGGGGGGTCAACAATTTGAAGGATCAATACTTTAGCAAGCCACTGTTGAGGGAAGGAAAAAACATGAGTTTTTTATTAGTGTCAGTATTGAATCATATTGTCATGTCATGTTTTAGCTCTTTCGCTGCCTCCTCTGTGAACAAAGATGATGCACATAAGGAATCGACTGTTGAGTGTCCTCTTTGCTATCGTCATTTCCCTTCATCTGAGATACAAACACATGCATCAGACTGTCAAGGCCCACCCTCACCTCCCCACAAGGCATCATATTCACAAACCCAGAGGGAGATGGCTGGTACATCAGGTGTGACAAGGTGAATGTCTGGATATTTTGTACTGTTTGCCATGTGGATGTGCATCAGACTGGAAAACACATGGAAACAATGAATTCTGGCCATTGTATACTGAATGTTTTAATCTCTACAAAGCAGGGAAGTAAGCAGATACTGAGAGTGCTATAAAGCAATGTGTTACTCCTGCTTTGATGTCCTCTCTTAATTGTGGATGCAAGTGTAGCTAAAGTTCCTCGTAACCTAAGCTGTTAACTATAATTGTGTCTAAAAACCCTTTCTCTCCCAAACTCAGCTACGAAGCTGACATGTAAGTAGGTTCGATTTCCGCCGTCTCCCGGGTCCGGTCTTTGATCCTCTTTTGGCGAATGAGTGCGGGCTCATTTTCCCGAACAGCGGCTGGTAATCGAGCCTAACATGTAAGGTACATTTAACTCTAGACAAACTCTGATCATTCAGATGACAACTCTTTATCTGTTCTTTTACATAGCCGTATTTGTTTAGTATGCTTTGTAACGTTGTAGTGTCATCTTTTACTGTACAAAACGGTTCTTTAGCGTGGTAACATTTGATTTGCTCTATTTGCAAACTAGATTGCAAAATTTACAAATATTGATTGTTGGTTTCCGGTCCTTTTGGGAGTAAAGGGGCTTGAGCAAATTCAAATTTTCCAACAAATGTCTATTAATAATACAATGAGAATAATACATGAGAATAAGTGAAACAAATTCTCTCAACTAGTTCTTCAAGGTTATGTATGGAAACCAGTATGGAGAATTTGTATGTGGGTATTGAAGCTTGAAGGGTTAACCAAGAGTAAGCTGTCAGTCATTTCTGAAAATAGCGGATAAGTGAGTTTATTTAACGTATTGTGACAACTTGAATGAGCAAGTTTTCATTAAATCAACAAGAAATTTGCTCATTCAAGTAGATCAAAAGTATAACCATTCTGAACTTAGGCTGCTCTTTTTCAGTCCTGGTCCCTGTGCAATTTACCGAACTTTATCTGGTGAAAGAGGCCAGTTAAAAAACCTGAAAGTTTTCCTTCAACGGTCTCCATTGGCTGAAAGGAAGATTCTTGAAAAAGCTAACCAACCACCAGAATCAGGCAAGAAAAATCTTGATTTTGAAAAGAACGTTTCTCCTTCTGGACAGACTGGAAAAATAGGAAAGTTTAAAGGTTTTCATCAGAGTTCTGCTGAGGGGGCGAGAAAACATACCAGGACAACAAGAGCAGCCGTAAGAACAGAATCAGAGAGTGAACGGAGTGGATATGAGAGAGAAGTAGATGAGGAGGTCTGCAGCTGGCTTGATTCATCAAGGTCTTTATCAGTTTTTTTCTTTCTACTTTTAGCTGTAATAGAATTATGACCATAGAGTACTATGTTGGTCGCAGTGAACTGGGTGCTACTTTTCTTTTCTAGGGAGCAGAGAAGAGACAGCTTGACTATGATAGTTGCCAGTGGGGATTATAGTATTAGTTGAATTATGGAGACGTCTAAATACGTAAAATAGTTTAATCCTTCCCTACTGATCCCTTAACGTTACGATAGATGACGTATGAGTAAAATAGAGGACCTGTTCAGCCTGCAAACAAGCTCTCCGGGACGCTCTGGCGACGGGGCGGGAAAAGGAAGTAGAGCTTGCAACTGCCTCTCTGGGATTTGAATATCTGCGTAGGAAAAGTCGATGCGAAATGCTAATTAGTGGAGATGACGTTAGTAATGACGTCATTACCCTTGGTACGTGTTTTTCAATTATTGTTTACATTCGTGCTCGTATCCGCTTCGCGCTGATTGGTGGAAATCTGACAGCTCAGTCGGCGGGGAGCCACAGGGGAATTGGAGGTAAAATTCAAATTCCAGAGAGGCAGTTGCAAGCTCTCCTTCTTTTTCCCGCCCCGCCGCCAGAGCGCCCGGGAGAGTTTGCTCGCAGGTAAGACCTGTTAGGACATACCATCGCCCACCCTCACTGCAAGTGAGGCAAAAGTTTATAGCAAGACCCGTGTGCAGAGGCGTGTGTAAGAGAATAGAGAGCTAAAGCAACGACGACGGCAACGAAAACGTCAAAAAGCAATAGATTTAGATTAGCAAAACTACAACTTTGCACGTGCAACCCACTTTTTGTACATTTCTTTGCCGTCACTGCGCGAGTACGACGTGAAAGGTCCTTATTTTATATTACGTTTTGTGGAGGACATGAACCTTCACGTCCTTATTTTTCTTTTCCTGAACGTTGATAGAGCCTGGTACAATTTAATTCCAGAAAAATTTGCCAACATTTGACGAACTGAGCGAGATGAAATAAGCGCGATAAAGTTTGAAGCAGCGCGACTTGACTTTTTAAGTGACCTTTTCCAAGCGGTCGCCGTCGTTGTTGCTTACGGTCCCTAATGATACAAATCAGAAAAGTTTACCAAACTTTTAACGTGATGTTACACGGGACGATTCGCAACGACGATTTTTAGCGCAACACGTCGTTGCATTGAAACGATGTCGCAACAATGTTGTAACGCTGTGTTGCGCTAAAAATCGTCGTTGCCCATCGTCACGTGTGACATCACCTTTAGTCTCATGTGCATCCGCTCTGGCCGGAGTCACGTATGCGCGGAGGAGACTACCATGCTTTTTGACAGGAACCCATTTTTTGCAAATTTAATGTGTTGAATTGCATTGTGGGACCAATTTGGACCCAAATAACAGCCAATAGGGAGCTTTAGTGACGAGGACGGCGTCGGCAACGAGAACTTCAAAGAAGTAATAGGTTTATTACGCAAAGCAACAACTTTGCACGTGTGGCACACTTTTTGGTACATTTCTTTGCCGTCACTACACGACCACAACGTGAAATTTCCTTATGCGGCGTTCTATGAGAATAAACACACGACGGTGACAGTTTTCTTTTTCTCTCTAAACTTGGGTGCGCTTCACAAGAAAATCTGCCTACATTTGACATTTTAAGTCAGTTGGAATAAACCTAGCAAAGTTTGAAAAAACGCGAATTCATTTTAACGGTGTTGTTTGCGCTACCGTCGTCGTCATCGTAGTTGCCAAAGCTCCGTAATAAAAGAAGCGATTGCGTCGCTAAAACATTTCCATAGTGCAGTTCGATACACACCGACCCGGTCTAACGCACAGCCTGAAAATGGCAGTTATATTAGGCATTCTTTTTCTCTTTTTGAGCAAATTACTACAGAAGGAAACTCCAGGATTCCCCTCATCGCTTTTCTATTGAAGAAAGGAATCCTATAATCTGATTAAGACAATTTTATTTCAAAGTTCCCTTGGTAATTTGCATTGCTTGAAAACATTTTTCTTCTTTGCACAACTAGGTTAATATATGAGTATTTTTGTTATCCGTTTTGCTAATATATAATGATTTAAAGGGTTGGTTCCACATTTTATATATATATAAATAGACAAAGAATTGGATACCTCAATTCATAGATAGAATTATATTTTTTATTATTGGTCAAAGTTTATGCTCAGTTAATGACGTTACTCAGTCACCAAAGTTATTGTTGGTGTTATAAAAATTATTTTTTCAGAGTTATCCAGTTGTTCGTTTATCGTTTGTCTCGCGATAGTCACTGTTATTGACTGCGAACTGGTCTATTTGTAAACAGCCTCGACATTTTTATCTACACGATTCTTCAGATAGGGCTAACTCAACATTTTTATGTACACGATTATTCAGAAAGGCGCCTTTTATTCACCAGCCATTTGACACAACCGGCCCGGTTTGACTCGTAAAAAGTGCAAACAAATTTAGTTTTATTTTCCCCCGGGCCTCTCCCCTGGATTCGCCACTGCATTTAGTGTCTTGAATATAGTGTGTTTTTGGACCGGAAACCCTTAAGGGAGTGAGAAGGTTAGCGATGAGTACAAACAATATTTTTCCCCCAAAAATGATAATCTATTCCCATGATCGTATTGTAAAAAATTACTTTATTCCGTATGCGAAACGAACTGAGTCGGGGATTTGAGCGCTGCCCGCGCGGGAAGCGGGATTCCCCAAAATCCTGGCCTGGGACGCGGATTGGGAAAGAAAACAGTGTTCAGGATAGAAATGGTAGAAGTTCGAGAATTCGGGATTGTCGTGAAAAGGGAGCGGGAATGAGTGATCAGGACTCCCCATCCAGATCCTGTCAAGTAGCTAGAGCTGTTCATTAATTTTTCTTTTGTTGTTTTTATTCTATTCAGTCCCGAGAAAAAGAGGCCCCAGAAGACATATGGAGGTAAAAAGATTTTATTAATCATATGCATCATACCGATTTGGTGGACCACCTATTGGATTGTTTAATTGATTGACTGAAAAAACGTGGGATAAAAAGTTTAAGTAATAAATACTAATGAAAAAGTCTTGTTATGTTCCCAGATAAACTAGAAAACTATCAAAGCAGGGAACCCAGATTATCCCTTGAAAATCTTTAAGAATAAATTTTTCTTATTTGCAAGCCCGGCTTTCCGTAGTGTAATCCTAGAATGACCCTTGTTGCATCGTTTGTGGCTTGTGCTTTCCACTCGGAAACTTTTTCTTCTGTTAGTAATATACTAGTAAGTCATCAAGCAAACCAAGTTCTTTCATCTCTTTAAAGGAAATACCTCAAAACCGTATGGTGACTACATTCCCCTCGAAACGTCCAGACAAAGTGACGATGATAGAATAATTAAGAGCAGCTCTTCCAAATCACACGAAGAAAACCAAACGACAAGAAAGGACGAAATAGAATCGTGTAGCAGCTCATCTGACGGGGATGACGATGCGCTTATGGTGCAGTATGGAGCACAACGCGTGTCCCGGCGACAGAAAAAAGGATCCAGGAAAGAAGAAAAACAAGAAACAGACGAAAACGAACTGGCACTCGAGCAGCTTGGTGGATGGAAGAAGAAGCGACCGCTCTCGTCATCGAAAAGCTCCAAACCCAGAAAGTCTCGGCGGCTGAGAGATTCTGATAGCGAAGACAGCGATGAGTCAACAATTCTTTGTGCCATGTGTGAAGAGAGAATTCCCAAGGAGATTTATGAGAAACATGCTGAAGAGGAGCTGGAGGCGAGGAAAAGGACGGGGGGTGCTCCTCGAAAGGTGGAAGGTTGGTTCACGTTACCTCGTGTTTCTTTTCCATGGTCGCTCTGCATCCCCGCTCTCGAAGTAAGAAAAGAAAAAGGAAGTCGTTGTCTTGTGTTAACGTCCTCCACAAAACGTGAAATTAGGCAGTTTCACGTCGTAGTCGTGGAGTAAGGGCAAAGAAATGCAAAAAAAACGAGTGATGCACGTGCAAAGTTGTTGTTTTGTTTATCTAAATCTTTTGTTTTTTTGCCGTTCTCGTTGACGTCGCCGTCGTCGTTGCTTAAATTCCCTAATACTTTAACTTAGCACCTTGATAATTAGGCAGCTGTAGCAAACAATGAAGGCAGCGACATCGAAAATGACATCAGTAAGTTCACTGAGGGCCTACGATGCTCTAGGACACCTTCGGTGATTAGATATATTCTGCTCAAAGTTTCGGACATTTGGAAACATTTGGCCCTGGCGTCTGCATTAGTCTGCGACGTTTAGATTCTGAGACCAGGACGACTACGAGAACGACATTGTCTCTAAAGCAAGAAAAAAAATTCTATGCTTAGGTCTTTGTCTAGCTACATTTTTCATTTATGCAAATTTAGAGTACTGCTTTTGAACTCGCATTTATTTCCATTCCTTGATAATGGCGTCTGAGGTCGCCGAAACGTCGAAACATTATTTCTTTACCTTTTACATGTTTATGTTTCTCCAAATCATTATTAATTAAAAAAATATCCGTTTTCAAAAATATTGGGATGTGTTTTGGTGCACACAAATACCTATTACATGTGGAGGTATAGGCTCAACGGAGGAAAAATTCCGTTTTTTTTTTTCAAAAACGTCATATCCGCCGGATACTTGTGGACGGGGTCTGAGTGTGTTTCTGTCCAAATCTCTGATTTTAAGTGTTGTCTATCTCCATCCACGTCTCAGTTCTATTTTTCAGCTCTTGCCGTTTGTTGTTTTGTTTCAGTTGTTACGGCGAAAGATTCAAGTAGAGAAGGCGGCAGGAGTGACCACAGAAGGTAAATATACTCTAATTTAACTTGTTTGATTTAATTCCGAAAGTGCCCCTCTTTCCTCCTCCATTGCTTCCAGTCGGTGGTTGTTTGAAAACAAACTGTGAATGCCACGTCGGAGTGGAATAAAACACAAAAATTGGGTTTAATCAATTGATAGGATTTAATCAAGCGTCAATTTACCACATTTTTATTAAAAAGACACAGAAGGTGTTGTCTCGAGTGCACACTCATGTATGGGGGCATCATTACTCATTCCTTCACTACTTGTAAACTGCACCTTAAGCAGTCTGGCAAAGTCCCCCAACCAGTGTTGTAAATTATCCCTGAAAAGCCCTGAGGGGAGTGGATAATAAGATATTTACAATTTACAATTTAGTGCTATTCCTTCATCAAAGAGATGAAAGCTGTACTTTCAATTGGTACTATTTACTTGGTATGTAGTTCTGATGACTCTGTGTATGAAACCCTGTGGTGGGATCATTTCTGCAACAATGACTCGACAGTACTGTTACATGATTCTATTTGTTTCAAAGTTTTTAAAAATAATCTGATTTTATTTGCAATTTCAAGTTGGGAAAATGTTGGCTAACTTTGCATGATTGTAACCAGCGACTTAGATAACACAACTACCTTATAAAGCCGTTACTGTATCACATTTTAAGGGTTGGTAGACAAGAAAGGACAGACTTGGTTGTCAGGACAGACTTGGTTGTCCCCTTACAAAGTTCCGGAGCAGAATGCAGTGAGGTCGACGATAATGATGATTTTGACTGGGACGCTGTTAGTGATTCACCAATCAAGTGCTTCCAGTTTACAGAAAATTGTACCAGTGGCGTGGACTTCCAGAATCAGTTTGAACACCTCAAAAAGGAGAAGGGCGGCAGGAGGCGGGGAAATCAAGAGCGATATAAAGGGTCGGATCCCCGTAGGGGTTATGGACAGTACGATAACCGTGGGGAGTACGGAAGTTCCGGTGGAAGTTCTAATAAAAGGGGACATTGTAGAGGATCGTATAATAAAGTTTACGGACGTGGCCGTAGAAAAAAATACAGTGGGAAGTCAAGGGGATACCGCGGCGGCAAAAAATAACGTAGTGATTCGTTCCTTGTTTATATGCTCATTCTCCAGTTTATCAGATTCTCTGTAAAGGTGATGTCTCCGTTGTTGGGAGACATAATTGTGAACTGGTTTCCGTTCAGTAAGGTTCAAAATGTTCCTGTTTTACCCAAGCCATTTTCAAGGGAGCGCTAGCTACTTAGTTAATGTTTCCTGAGCGGAAAATACCATAATATTTTTCAAACTGCCGTTTGCGTGGGGCCTCATGCAAGCCTTACTTTTGCAGTATTTTTTGTTTGTCTGTTTGTTTGTTTTTTGCACAAACTGCACGTACAGTGTATGTAAATTTACAAGGAGCTGATGCATTGCAGGTGCGAATCGTGCAGGGAACAAAACACATTGCAAAAGTGGGGTTTACATGAAGCGCCTCCCAAACGGGAATGTAAAGAGTGTAATGGTATTTTCCGCTTTGGTCAACTGCACAAAAGGACTGTCATGTTTTAGGAAACAAATTGTAACCCAGGTTCCTGAACAACCTTCATTCCCAAAGTGCAGTTTTAAACAACATCAACTCAGTCTCGCGCAATCTCGCGCTAACGTCAGAATGGCAGTAGACCTCTTTAGCATGTTTGTTGTGTTTTTCCAATCATAGTTATGAACGTTGAATGGTTATGAAACCCGTTAGACTCCTTTGTTATATGTTTTTGTTAGCTTTTTTGGACCTGACCGTACACAACGTTCAATAGCATTCTAATCATTTTGAACTTACTGACCAATAGAAACATCGCATTCATTTATTCAGTCACAATTTGTAAACAAAAAACAAAGGTTTGTGTGCGGTCAGGAAGCTTCCCTGAACATAAACTACAACACCATTGTTTTCAACTTTGATGTTTGCCGGCTTTCCTAACCAGTCACCTCTACTAATTATGTTCCAATGTAGGTCATGTAATAATACTCCAGGGAACTGTTTCTTTTAAATTTTTGCTGAAAAACAATGAAAAATTCCATTGGGCAAGTGCGACAGCTATACGCGCATGTTGCAAATGAATCCACCCTTTGTCAACCCTTTGTTTTATTCAGGTGCATATGTATGCATAATTTATGAAAGGACGAAGGATCTACTTCATTTAGAAATTATAACATACAAGCTAAAGAGGTCTATTCATATCTAAGTGAGAGTTAACATAGTGATCATGGGTCTAATTTGTAGAAGAAAATAAAACCCAGAATGACTGAGGTAGTTGAGAAAGAAAGGCCCTCTTTCTATTTCTGTTTAATATACCGAATATAGTTTACCCATCGCGTTTAATCTTGTAGCCGTAATAATGGTTAACTGACCACCTCCCCTCCTCCTCCCTCCCGCGCTACGTCAATACTAACACTTACTTCTCACTCAGGGCAAAATTGTGACTTAGGGGAGGGGTAGGTGGTCACAGGACTTTCTACCGAACTTACAGATTACTCTCTATTTAATCCAAAATGGCTGATACACCATCGAACGCGACGTTTTCAGCTCAAAAACTAAAGCATTGCTCACATTAGAAATAAGTTGCTATCCTGTATGACCGGCCATGGTAGGAAAAAAAATTCAAGAGTTTTGTGTCAGTTCTTCGTAGCCAAGATACACCCAAATAAAGAACAATTTCAGTCTTATTTGGCCCTGTAGTACCTGCCATCATAGTGTTTGTTATGTTTGTCACGTGACGTGACGTGTTATGTTTGTTATCATAGTGTGGACTTGTTACTGTTTGTAGGCTAGGCTGAACGTTTGGCGGGTGGAAATGATGAAAGAAACATGAGGGACCTTACGATCCAACAACGGCGGCGTCCACGAATACGTCACTGAAAAATAGACTTTGTATCCTTCCACTTTTTTTCGTGATTTATCCAAGGGGCCCAGTTAAAAAAGAAGGGAATTTGGGTTGGAGCTGAAGAGAGGTGACCGCTCCCGAGTTCTGACAGAGATGGTAATTTATCGCCTTGCCGTTTCCGTTCCTAAGTAAACTTGAAACTTGGTCAATTCACGTCCTAGTTATGCAGGGACGGCAAAGAAATGTACAAAAAAGCGCGATGCACGTGCAGAATATTTGTTTTGTTCTTTAAACCTATTGCTTTTTTGACGTTCCCATTGCCATCGCCGTCGTAGTTTCGTAAGGTCCCTATTGATCTTACACCTGTGAGATCCTGTAGTAGTAGAAGTCGTCATCGTCATATAGCAGGGATTGAGAGGAAAGTCTCCTCATTAGGGAGCTTTAGCAACTACGACGAGAACGAGTAAAAAGGAATAGGTTTATTAAGCAAAACAACAACTTTGCACGTGCATCACGCTTTTTTGTACATTTCTTTGTCGTCACTTCACGACGCCACGACATGAAAATACCTAATTTCTCGTTTTCCATTTTCCAAAATTTCCAAAAAAGAGGACAACCTCGCAAGGTATACCCAAATTTTCGAAAAAAGTTTCCCGAAGGTTTTCTTTCCATTCATTTTTTTTTTTTTTGCTCCCGGGATTTCTATGATTTTCCGTTGAATGGTTCGTATTTCGGAAATTAAACAGTTTTCTGGAATTTCTGGAAACTTTTCCGGGAAATTTCTGTACCAATTGCCGCTACTTCTAAATTTTCGAGAGTTTTGATTAACTAATGATGGAAAGCGTCCAAGGTCTCGAATCCGTAAAAAGATGTGTCTTTCCGGATATGCACGGAAGGCTGTTCCAAAATGTAGGGACAGCAGCGGAAAACGATCAAGCGCTAAGGTTTCAAGTATGCGCTCCTTAGGACGTTCTAAGACAATTCTGTTATTCGATTTTAATGAATATACAGAACAGGACCCATGCTAACTAAATCACTAAAATGTAGCTAGGTGACATGCCATGTATGGTCTAAAAAGTAATAATTAAAAAGGGCCGACCTGTACCTATTCCAAACAAGGTTTGTGATCGGCTGGGAAAACAATAGGGATGGCGACATAACAATGCCCCTATCCCTGAAAACATTAGGTGGTGCAGGTTATAGGGACCAATGAAATAAGAGGTTTGGATGAGTGCAGGTCAATAGATTACAACGCTTGGTTCTTATTTGTTTACAAGTACGATTATGATCATGATTAAGAAGACGGAAATAAAGATGAATACGCCACTTCAAAATATTTCTCCTTACAAGAAAAACACCTGAGATAAGAGCCTTGGTTAAATTACAGTTAAGTAACCACAACTGTCTCATGATCGAGATTGGCGGATACAAAACCAGATATAAAGAATCAATAGAGTTTGCCAGGATTGTGGATGTAATCAAATCGAAGACGAAATTCATTTTCTGTTTCAATTTTAATACTGCTGCAAATGATAAAACAAAATTGAGATAATTTTCCTAGTAAGGCCCAAGTACTAAGTAACTACCTGTCAACGTATGGATCATAAATTATTATGAAATCTGCTTCGTATCTTATAAACAAAGAATTAATTAAATTAATATCATCTTGTTTTAAATTCCTATCGATGTAGTTTAAATTCACTCGGGAAGCGAGGATGTTACATTAATGAAAACAATTTTTTGCTACGACTCGTTAAAGCTTAGTGGTCCCTGGTTATGTTTCCAGAGTCTCGACGTTCGATATTTTCAAAGAAAAATTTGTCTAACCTTTCCTCCAAAAAAAAGACGTTGAATTGTGCTTCATAGAAAAAAAAAAGGGGCAAAAATGCAAATTAAAACACGCAGCTGACAAAAGTCGCATTGATTATGACATGAGTTTGCCATTTTGCGTGAAAAAATAAATCAAACAATACATTTTACACGTTTAGCCTCGCGGGAACTTTGGTATCAGACGACAGTAAATAACACGAGAGTTGCTGTAGCCAAGTACTTTTTCAAGGGGTTTAATTTTGTGAAACTAGGAGCATGTCTAAGAAAAACGCATCGCCATCCATCTTGATTTAGTTCAATGAAGTCATGGATTCTAAGATATTTAAGTGAAGAATGTTTTTCAAAGAGGTCAAGTTTTGTGCCCAATCTTTCTACCTTTACTAAACGTTTTGCGTGGGTTTGTTGGCTATATAAGGTGCAAGAAATGTTTTATAGGTAATTAAATTGTCACTTAAGTCCAGATGATCAAGAAAATGCTTAAACTATGACAATGACTTCCTTCCATTTTGGTGCTAATATTTCATTTTCACCCTTGTTAATAACATTTCCGTTGTCAAACAACGTACGCAAACAGCATGACATGGAAACCAAAAGCCGCACCCCGGGGCAGTGGTCAAATATTGCTCTTTCGAGTTGTTTTACATAGTGAAGGAGGATCTACTGCTCGTAAGGACTTCGATATGGAGAATATTTCACTTGCTCATTCTGCGAATAAATTCTGTAACCGCTTTAAGGGTTACCATTACATGTCAACAGCAGGAAACGATCCTTTTAAAACAGGATTCATCATAGACGCCATTCTTAACGTTCCGTTTTGCATTATCACAACACTGGCCAATGTTCTTGTTATAATTTCAATATGGCGGTCGTATCAGCTTCGTACACCCGCGAACATGCTGTTGATTGGATTAGCATTGTCAGATTTAGGCGTTGGTTTGGTCGTACAGCCTTTCTTCATTGCTTATTTGTTATCATTTGCTTTCCACGGTGCCGATAAATTTACTTGTATTTGTGCGGTTGGGTTGAATTTAACTGCTTCTTGTCTTACGTGTGTATCCTTTGGCACGGTAACTGCAATAAGCGTTGAACGCTACCTTTCACTCCTCCTTCATCTGCGCTACGAGGAGATTTTCACAGTGAAGCGTGTTCGACGTTTTCTCGTCGTTTTGTGGCTTCTAGGTGGCCTGTTCTCTATAATCTTGGTTTTCTTTGTTCCTGAATATAAATCGCATTATTTCGTGGTCGGAATTGCACTTTGTTTGCTGATTTCCACAGTGGCTTACGTAAAGATACACCTCATCGTTCGTTCTCATCTCAGACAAATAGAAGCAAACGACGTAAGGCAAAGGGAGGTCTCTAACAACTTTGGTCACCGCAAAAAATCCGCGT